TCAGAGGACTTAAGTGCCAGTCTTGGTGCACACAGCTAAAAGGAGCAGTGGAACCCACAGTCCTACCAAAGAGCCACAAGACTGCGTAAGAGGACAAGGGAAAGGGCAGTGGAGGCCGCTGCAGTAGGCAACAGGCCACGCAGGGCCCAGGACACTGTCCAGTGTTGTTCCCACGAGCTTGCCCTGCCTCACAGCCAGGCCATCGTGTCCTAGAGTCAGCCCCCTCTTCAGCCTTTCGGTACACTCTCGCCCTCATAGCCCAGGTCTGGTCATACATTCCCTGCCTGATGCCCTTCATCTCAGCTTCCCAGTTAGCCCTGGATACTAAATGGTAACCTCCTGCCAGGATGGGGGTGTCAGCCTATCCTGGGCCAGAGGTAGGTCCTGTAGGGAGCGGGAACTAAGCAGGCTCAGACCTGGTCTCAGGTTCCAGTCCTGGCCCAGTCTCAGACTTTTCTGTGGTTCCTAGGCTAACCCCTCTGCCCTCCTTATTTTCCAGTGCCTCAGCTCTACAAAAGGCAGACCAAGGTACACCTCAGGGTGGTTGTAGAAGTTTAGCGAACTCCAGTGAACTACACTGGAGAAACACTTTGACAGAAACAAGCTGTGTAGACTCCTGCCAGTGTGGACAGCTAGCTACTTGTTGAACCGTGGCTTGATAGACACAGCCTCCTTTCCAGGCTGCAATCAGTATTAATTAGCCCACTCAACAGATAAGACCAAAGAAGACAAAAGCATGCTTGGACCAGGCAGTGAGGAAACAGCAGAGCTAGGATTTGAACCCATGTCCATCACAGTTAATTCTCTTCCCCTGCAAAGTTCTGACCTGCTAGGGAGAATCTGAATTCTTAGCCTGGAGGCTGTAGCCTTCCAGCCTTCCTTCATGCCTGGAACCTTCCTCTGGCCCCCTCCTTCGGGTCTCTCTGCTGGGTTCGGGGCCTCCTTGGAGGATTCAGGGACTGATCATATCATTTCAGATCCCTGGGGGTCTCTGCCCACCTAACGACCTGAGAGCCAGAGACCCCTTCAACAGATGATGAGTTGGCGCCAGAGCCCAGCTGGGACCTGACTGGGGCAAGGCCCCAGGAGAGAGAAAGGCGCCTGCTCCTGACATGGAGAAACAATGAGATATGTCTCAGCTTCTTTCTCCTGGATTCTGGAGCAGTGACACCCTTCTCTTCCCCTCTCTTCTTCCTCACCAACACACTCTCTCTCTCTCTCTCTCTCTCTCTCTCTCTCTCTCTCTCTCTCTCTCTCTCTCTCTCTCTCTCTCTCTCTCTCTCTCTCTCTCTCTCTCTCTGTGTGTGTGTGTGTGTATCACTGGACCAACACATACCCCTTACACCTCTGAAATTCACCTGACCTAATACTAGATTTGGGGGGTAGGTAGAAGGGGAGTTCAGGTCTCGGTCCTGGGTATGTATCACAGTAGGGACCCCAACGGTATCCCCGGATATTCACAGGCAGATTCCTCTCCTACATGCAGGTTGGGTTCCACTGGTTGAGGTCAACCCTTCTGCCTATACAACTGACCAGGTGGGAGCTGCCTAAATCCAGAAGACCTTGCCCACGACAGGCAAGCTGGGGGAGGGGCTCACGATTCCCTCCTTAAAGCATCAAGGTTGCTACCTCAGAAAACTGGGCCTGCAGGCCCCCAACCCCTTGCCTGCTCCCACCTTGGGCCAGAAACCTTGGAACGTAGCAGGGTAAAGTCTGGATAGGTTGCTGCACCGGGAATTCCATCCAAACCCTAGACCCATTCTCAGTGCCAAGGTGGAGGAGAACGGCGACCTCCCAGGTATCTGCCCCAGATCACCCGAGCACCCCACCCAGGACGTGGAATGGTGGAGGGAGATACGCGGGGGCTGGGGGGGGGCATGCAGTGGCCATCAACCTGGACCAACCTGGGTTGTAGGGCCTGGGGACTCGGCCGGCAAGTGAAGCCACCCTAGGGGTCCCCGGGAAATCCCAAGACTCCAGGCCAAGCTGAAGGGCGGGGTGCGCGCGGCCGCTGTCCTCACCTGAAATTGGGAGGCGACGCGATGTGCAGTCCCAGGAATGGGGAGGCGGCCGGCGGGGACGCTGCGCCCCCGCCCAGGCCGCTCTCTCGCTCCGCCATTCCCGAGCGCAGCCCTGGCCATCCGGGCGGAGCGCGGCGCGGGAGGCGGCGGCGGCGGCGGCGATAGAGGAGGAGGCGCGGCGAGGAGGCCGCCGCCGCCGCGGGGCTTGGACTCGGCTGGGGCGGGCGCGGCTCCGGACCGCGCGCCGCTTTGCCTGCGGGCCCCTGCGAGAGCGCCCTGCGCGCGCCCCCGGGCAGACTGGGGTCTCGTGGCCCCGCCCCGCCCCGCCCCCAGCGCTCTCCAAGGTGCTGACGCTTTGGTCCAGTGGCCCTGGGTGCACCTAGCCTCCCCCAACATCCCACAGGACTCTACAGGCACCCACAAAGCTTTGCTCCCCAGAGAGCGCGATCTAGATCCAGGGCATCAGGTAGCTAATGGCAGGGTCCTCATCCCCAAGTCGGTCTTTGGCCCTTCACAGCAACAGGAGTGGGAAGGAGGGTTTTGGAAGATGGCAGAGAAAGGAGAGTGTGGTGGAGTCCAAGTGTAGCCAGCTTTGGAGCCAGGTGGCTTAAGACCACAACTTGGTTCCACAAGTAAACAGGCAGGGAGCTTGCATTGGTGACCTGACAGCTCTAAGGGTTGTCTTTCCGATTCTGTGAAATGGGGTGTGATCCCTTCATAACTGTGGAGGAAGAAATAGAATAGAAATGCTTGCAGGGAACACCCCCTGTGCACTGGGATTTAGCCCTCATCTCTCCCTAAAAGGGGCACCTCTGTCAAGACCTCCTTGGACCCGTCTACCCCTGATGACCTGAACCTTGCTCTTAGCTTCATAGCCTTGTGAAGTCTCTTTATGACAGGGCTCAGGTTGTCCTGAAAGTTACTATATAGTCTAGGCTGACTTTGAACAGTGACAATCTTCTTGAGTCTCAGGCTAAGCCTGAGGATTCGTGTGAACGCCCATGCCCAGTTCTTCCATTTGGCACCTGCACATTCCTGAATTGGCTTCTGCCACCTTAAGGCCCAGACCTTCCTCTTGCCCCCAGAGCTGGCTCCTGGGGGCTGTTGGTAGTTTCAAGGCCCAGACCTTCCTCCTGCCCCCAGAGCTGGCTTTTGGGGGGCTGTTGGTAGTTTCAAGGCCCAGACCTTCCTCCTGCCCCCAGAGCTGGCTTTTGGGGGGCTGTTGGTGGTTTCAAGGCCCAGGACCTTCCTCTTGCCCCCAGAGCTGGCTTTTGGGGGGCTGTTGGTGGTTTCAAGGCCCAGGACCTTCCTCTTGCCCCCAGAACTGGCTTTTGGGGGGCTGTTGGTGGTTTCAAGGCCCAGGACCTTCCTCTTGCCCCCAGAACTGGCTTTTGGGGGGCTGTTGGTGGTTTCAAGGCCCAGGACCGTCCTCCTGCCCCCAGAGCTGGCTTTTGGGGGGCTGCTGGTAGTTTCAAGGCCCAGGACCGTCCTCCTGCCCCCAGAGCTGGCTTTTGGGGGGCTGTTGGTGGTTGAAAGGCCCAGGACCTTCCTCTTGCCCCCAGAGCTGGCTTTTGGGGGGCTGTTGGTGGTTTCAATGCCCAGGACCGTCCTCCTGCCCCCAGAGCTGACTTTTGGGGGGCTGTTGGTGGTTTCAAAGCCCAGGACCTTCCTCTTGCCCCCAGAACTGGCTTTTGGGGGGCTGTTGGTGGTTTCAAGGCCCAGGACCGTCCTCCTGCCCCCAGAGCTGGCTCCTTGGGGGCTGCTGGTTCTGTTCTTCACACTGACTCTGAGCTTAGCTGTGTTTTTTCCCTCGTCCTGTATTAGGTTTTCTCACACAGCATGAACTGTCAAGGCCAGGGCCCCGCGTTGGTGGGTCAGAGTGCCTCCCACACACCTTCACTACTCCTCTGGCCAGATCCTGCCCTTCACAGAGATAGAGCAGGGCAGACAGACGCTCTACATACAGCCTGTGGAGTTCTGCTTGCAAATCTTAATTGACAACTGGGAACGTTGTCTCCTCTTCCTTCCTAGCAAGAAGCTGCAGGCACCCACCTTGCAATGTTCAATCTCCCTGCTTCAGATCTGAGGACATTCTAGAACCCAGAGCTAGAGGCCTTGGCTGCCTCTCCCCTCCCTGCCACTGATGCAGGGATTTAGCTTTAACTTTCAGTCTTTTGGCTCAGGCCTCTCATACTAGGCCCTACCCTAACCATCTGCTGTTATGGTACCTTCCTTCTTCCTAGAAAAGGAGTCTTGCCTAGTTATCACGGCTAATGTGTGCTTGTTTCAGATAGGTGGCATTCCCAGGAGGTCAGAAGCATGAGTATGTAAAACAGTTCCCTCTTCTAGAAACTTCTGCCAAAGAACAAAGGTATCTCAGCTTCCCCAGCCGAACCAGAACTATATGAAAAGCCCTGAGAGAGGCCAGCCCTGGTCTTGGTAGGAAGTAGGCCGGCAGGAGCTTGGAGGCAGAGCCAGGAATGAGATGAGTCCTGGAGTACAGGTCCTCTCCTGTCTCTAGACCAGACTGTGATTTTCTTTGGCTTTGCCAAGCCCTTCTCCCACCAAGAACACCCATGTGCATGGCACTCTGGCCAGATGGCCCAAGACAGAGCCAGCATCCAGGCCTTGGGGCTTGGCTGTGGCTTCCTTAACCATGTCCACAGGGCACACGTGTGTTCTTAGAGTATCATAAAGAATGGATGCAGGACCCTGATCTCAGTAGGCTGCCTGGTGCCACTGTGAGGTGACATTCAGGACTGTCTCCTACCCTGTATTGTTTCAGCTAACCCTGATTCTGACCAAGTTCTAGAGCCGCTGCCAGCCTACTACAGTGGCTTCCACAGCCTCCTCTATCCAAGGGAAATGAGACTCTTGACTCCAAGAGAAGCAACATGGCCTGGCTTGAAGCTTTCCCCAGGTTCAGCCTCAGCGGCCCCAGGTCCCCGACCTCCCACAAGATTGATTACACAACACAGCTTTACTCAGACAGGGGCAGACATTTATAAGACAGGGAAATATTCACAAACAAACTGGGAGAAACCCAACCTTCCCAGCAATAGGGAACTCTATAAAGTGCTTCTTGCCTGCGACCATCTCTGCCCCGTGCTAGGTCCCAGCAGCAGGACATGGGGCACTGCTCCGTGACAGCCCTCACAGTCACTCAGGCTAGGCAAAAGGAGGCATGAGGCCACTCCAGGGCTCCCGGCCATTCCATCCTTTGGCTCTGGGGTGGGTGGACTGTCTCATTCATTGGGAAGCTGTCCTGAAAATGGGCCAGCATGTCAAGGAGGCGGAGGGGCAGGTGACCTTGCCAACTTGTACTTGGGAAGAGAGCCATCATCAAAAAGAAGGACGCTGTCCCCATAGCTGAAGGTGCTGTGAAATACTGGACACAGGACCTGGCCTTTGAGCCTCTCAGACCAGGCTCACTCTATCGTCCCTCCAGCAAGATCCCTTGGCTCTTTCCTCTTGGCCTGGGGATGGGGAGCAGGGAGGCCAAACCCCGGGTTCTGAACACGTGTCACCTGTGCCGTTTCTCCACATGATCATAGGATGTTGCTAGTCAGAATGATGGACATAAACAGTTGGACTAAAGGCAGCTCTCTGCTGAGAAAACCTGAGGCTATCTCAAGAAGCCTGTCAGATGAGCTGGACAGCTGCAGGGAAGGGGAGCCTGGCCCCAGGGTTCTGGTCTGATACAGTGAAGGCCAGGGCCAAGGGCATTAACAATAATGCTGAGGCTAGGAAAGGTCACAGGGGAGGTAGAGAGGAAAAGGCCCAGAGGCCAGCTTAATGTTACATGTGAGAACAAAAATCCACACAGGAACACACGCACGCGCACACGCACACACACACACATGCACACACACTCACTCACTCCACATGAATACACTGTGGCTCAAGTGCAGGCCACGGGGTGGAAGGAAGACTTGCTCAGTTACCCACAATCCTTTTCATAACTTCTTTCTCCACATGAACCAACAATGGGAGGGAGAGATGGCCCCCTGTGAAGCAAGGCTTGGCTTCTCTGGGCCAAGCCTCCCACTTCCTCTCTGGGAAGGGAATGGTGTGATCTCTATCTGATCTTTCAGCAATGGCTGCAGGCCGTGCCCCGTCCCTTGGTCCTGAAGTGTGGCAGTGTGGGTGCTAACCATTCCAGGCTGGGCCCTGGAAGCCTGCAGGACACAAACCGGCCACCTTGCCTGGCTGGGTATCAGCAGTACTTGCTGGAGCATGTGCCTGGGAGTGTGGCCTGAGAAGCCAGGGGCCCTTAAGTTACAGGCCTGGTTTCCTCCACCAGCTCTGACCCTGGTGTATCTACAGCTCCTGGGAGGCCGAGGCTGGGCCCTAGCTGCTAAGGAAGAGACAGAGACTGGGAGTCTAGTCCTCACTTGGCTTCTAGAAGGTCCTACAAAGACAGATATGCTGTCTGAGGCTGACATGGGCAGGACTGAGCATACAGCACACCAGTCTGCAGTCTTAGACACCCAAGGGAAGAACCTGCCAGTGGCATGGGACTTTAAAAGACTGGACAGGACGGTTAAGTCTGAATGGGAGCCTCTATTTCAGCCTGCTCAGGCTCTAGCGTCAGAGCGTGAGAACTAAGCCAGCAGGACTCTGGCTGCCTCTGGAACCCCACACTTTAGGAGAGTCAAAAAATGTGGCCTTCCAGCTGTCTGAAGAGAGGAGGCAGGAAGAGAAGTCTGGGGAGGCAGAGACCAGAATTCCAGCTAGGGTGCCACCACCACATTCTACTGGGACAAGGAAGGGGGCTCCCAGGAACAGATTTGTGCTGAAAGTCACTGCTGTGGCTTCTAGTCCTGTGTCTGGAGGTGAGGAAGCAGCCCCAGTGACAGGGATGATCTAGAGACTCCTCCAGCCCAGTTGGCATTCAGGATCACAAGAGTGTAAACAGATGCATGCACACGCAAATGGCACACCATGCCTTCCTCTGCACACACACACATTCGTTCGTTCTGTCTCTTGGTGACTGGCTTCTCTGTAGGCCGTGGCAGCTCAGGCACCCGGGCTGTGTCTCGGAGCGATGGCTCTCCAGCTGAAAGAGAAAAACATGTGCATAGAGGGTACTCAGGAGGCTGCTTAGTTGCCCAGGCACCAGCTCCTCTGGCTGCTTCCCCGGGGATTCCCAGACTGGGAGTGGGACAGCCCAGTGAACATGCTGCTTGGGCCACAGTCCCCAGGGCCAGGTTGTTGCTGGGAAACCATGGGAGTGGTTGAATACTGCATCTCTGAACCCAGGACAACTGTTCCCTGCATATCCTGTTACCCAGAGATGAGGGCATTAGAGGACAGGGCTACCTGGGCATCACTTGAAACCTTGAAGGACACTTGTTCACAAATAACAAGAGCACAGCTACGGCATCAGAGATGGAGAGCAGGGAAAAGTATCTGCATGAGAAACTGCCTAGTGATTTTGAAGAATAAGGCAATGAATGGGTTTAGAACCAGCAGGGCAAACTTTCACACACCAATCACAGAACCCTGGCACATGGCTACAGTAGTTGGGGGTTGGGGACACATGATGACTCATTTTAAAGATTTAGAAAATTCTGGATCTGGGGAAGAGAAAGAAATGACCTCACCAGATACCGGAGGACAGGGTTAGCCCATCGTAATTACTGGGCTGTCTGTAATAACAGGCTGATGGAGGAGCCGCAGGGCAGGTACACTCTTGTGTCCACAATTGATGTCCCCACTTATGTGGCTCAGGCCCTGACTCTCTTTAGGTAAAACTGAGATGACTAGGGTCCCAGACAGAACAGAGGGGAATCTCAGCAGGTACTAGAGACTATGCCCTTGAACTCCAGAACCAAGGGCTTGCTTCTGTGACGCTTTGCTACGGCAGCCCCCACAGACCCAGACAACTTCTTTGCCTCCATTTTCATAAATGAGAAACTGAACTGACACCAGTGTCCATACAAATAGCCAAGACAGGAATTCCCAGGCCTTCAGGATTCAAAAACTCTGTGGAATTAAAAAAAAAAAACTCCTAATTTTATGTGTATGAATATATGAATAATTTGCCTGTATCTATGTCCATGCACCACATGAACACCTGATGACCCCAGAAGCCAGCCAGGAAGCCTGGAGCTGGAGTCAGACAGTTTTGAGCTGCCATGTGGTGCTGGGAATTGAACCGTGGGTTCTCTCTAAGAAAAGCAGCCGGTGCTTTTCTGAGCATCTCTCCTCCAGGCCCTGTCATTTTGTTTTTATTTTTATTTATTTTATTTTATTTTTTGTTTTTTTCGAGACAGGGTTTCTCTGTATTGTTTTGGAGCCTGTCCTGAAACTTGCTCGGTAGACCAGGCTGGTCTCGAAATCACAGGGATTCACCTGCCTCTGCCTCCCGAGTGCTGGGATTAAAGGCATGCACCACCAACGGCCGGCTGTCATTTGGTTTTAACCATTAAGTGAAATTTACATTATTTCTCATCAAGACTTTCACAAGATATAAAAAGGAAGAAATTCAACATAGTGGCATAGAGATCCACACCTACACAAAGTAAAATGGAAGGTACTAGAAATAAGAAAACACATGTAAAAGTCAGATGAATATGGAGCCGTGGATCCAATCTCAGCCTTCTAGCACATTCCATCCCATTTCGGGTATTTATCTATGCAGTTGAGGCAGCCTTGGGCTCCTGATCTCCTGCTGCTACCTCTTAGGTTCTAGGATTACCGGTGTTGAGAGCTCAGGCCATCCTTTTAAGGCCACACGCTCCATCTGAAGCCCCTGCCCTTGGAGGGTGACATTGTCTAGACTGCAGACGCGGGGCAGAAGGTAGAGCAGAAGTGGATACATGCGTGGGCAGTTCCCAGGATCTTGTCCTCCACACCAGGTCTAACTGCAACCATCTACCTCCCTCTTGGAGAACATGCTGCAGGAGGTGGCCGGGCTCTTCCATTAGGCAGCCCTGTTTACAGAGGCACTCAGTACAGTTTCCGAGCAGAGCTAGTCTGCTGTTTAAACCTGAGATGAGCTTCCTTCTGAAACATAACTCCAGTGCCACCTCCATTTTGTTTCTCCTGCCCTCAGCTCTTGGAGTTCATGGAATTATGGACAGATCTTTTAAATTCATTTTAAGTGAAACATAATGACATATTATGTGATTTTTTAAAAAATATTTTGCCCCTTCTCTCTTCTCATCCTAGACAGTATTTCATATAATCCAGGCTGGCATTGAATACGCTATGTAACTAAGGACCGTGGACTGCTAACACTCCTTAGTCTTCTGAATGCTGGCGTGCACCACTAAGCCTAGCTTATCATGTGCCTACACATATACACATTATGTATTCCTGAGATCAATTCAAACCTAGCTGCACCAACATTTTTCATTTATGGAAAGCTCTCAGCCTCCTTTCTTATGGCCCCCTCCCTGTCAGGAGCTAGGAACTGGAGCTGAGATACACCTGGACATTCTGCAGCCAGAAGCATGGGCTCTCTGGGAGGGCTGGGCTGCCTCCATCTCCACACTGGATAGGCTGTCCGTGACACACCTGTCACATGTCAGTTGCACAAGTGTCAGACGCACAAGTAACAGTGGGCATTCTGGAAGTCACATTCTATGTAGAGAAACCTCAGTGCTAACAAAGCACAGGCCAGTGAGGGGAGGGGCTCCTTGGCCATGGCCCTCTGTGCGTGGAGGGTTAGTTTCTCATAGACTGCTGTGCAGAGCTGGAAAGGGAGAGAAGCACACGCGCTGTGCCATGGGGAATCACTGGATGAGTGGGAGGAGCCGGCATAACTGGAGGGTGATGCAACCCTGTGTCAGCAGCTCTGGGGATTACGGGAACCAGCTGACAGGACTGCTATTTGGAAGCTCACTCTTTTCTTTTTTCAATTAGTGAACACTGTAAAAACTAACTGGAGAACATTCAGTTGGGTTTGAGGCAGGCATGGAACCCACTGATCCTAGCGATGGTTTTCTGCATACTGATTTAACTCAGAGTGACTACTCATGAGACAACAAGCACCGGAGACAGCAGGGTCACAAAGCCAGTAGAGCAGCGCTAAGATAGTAAAAGCGGGGAATGACTACTCAGGCATTGGCCTGCAGCCCAAGTCGTGTGACTCAGATGGACAGGGGATGGGCAGGAAGGGGCGTGTCTTCCCACGCACACGATTCTGACTGGGTCCACAGCCCCACCAGTCAGGTGACCAAGGTCACTGGGAAGCTCACGCAAGGCAGCACCATGCCCTCCTCTGCCTGGGTGGGCTTTGCTCACAGGCAGACTTTTCACCCAAAGCTTTTGACTTTTCTCCTTGACATCCTGATACATGTGTCCCAGTGGTAGGGCAGGTGACAAGAACTACAAAGTACTTCACAGCTGTGAGGGTTAATCTTGGTTGTCAACTTGGTTGGACTTGGGATCAAGCAAAAGACACGCCTCCAAGCAGGTCTGTGAGAACATTCCCTAGGCGGCAGTACCTTCCAGCAGCGGCCCAGACAAGAAAGGCAGGGCTGCTTCTGCCTGCCCGACTGCACTCCTGGCTGCTAGTGCATCTACCCTGCCGCCTGCCGCTGCACCGGGACCCTTCTTTGACCTCCCATTCATAATGACCAGTGGCTCTCCAGGGATCCTTCGGGCTTCAGAACCAGCCTTGCAAACTGCAAGCCTCTTCAGGGTGCAGATGGCCACTGTTGGACTACCTAGCCCACTGTGTAAGAAAGATAATCTGGTACTTCCTTTTGTAAACATGAACATTATGTAGGTTCTGTTTCTCTTGAGGCCCAAATGCCCTAGTCTGCATATAGGAGGCACTTTTCTTTTGGGTTTTCCAAAACCTTGGTGCTGCCACTCTTGTCTTGGAAAGATGTTTGCTCCTATCACATCCTCTGATTTCCTGGCTTAACTACCTAAATGAAGTGTAGAACAAAGCCATTAAAAACAGCCCCCGAGATGCCAGTAGGTAACACACGGGCACCCACACTATCGGGAAGCAAGGCACTCCTCTGCACAGCTGACGTCACTTGGCATCAGCATCAGGTTTCTCAAATGGTTCTTGCCTACCTGGTTCTCTGTAGGGCCCCATCCAGTGTTTAGTCTCCTCCAGATGCAAGTTTGACCATTCTGTTCCACGGGTGGCTTTTCTTCAGAACTCCCTCAAGGGGCGCCTAGGCCCAATAGTACAGTCTTCCAGAGTGTCAGACTGCATAGACAATAATCCCAGTAATACCCATCCCAGCAGGGAGTACCGTGCTCCAGTACTTCTGAGCTAGGCCCAGGCTGTGAGACCTGCACACTGCTGGTGTCTACTATGATCTATACTTCCTAGCTAACCACCCCTTCTCCCCCGCCTGTCCCAGACACAGTCCACACCAGTGACTCTTAAGGTACAGCCCCTGAGTCAGCAGTCCCTCTGCAGCCCAGCCTTTCCTTTCTCTCTCCTTATGAACTGCAGTTTTTCTTTTTTCTTTTTTTCTTTTTTGGTTTTTCGAGACAGGGTTTCTCTGTATTGTTTTGGAGGCTGTCCTGGAACTCACTCTGTAGACCAGGCTGGCCTCGAACTCACAGAAATCCGCCTGCCTCTGCCTCCCAAGTGCTGGGATTAAAGGCGTGTGCCACCAACGCCCGGCCAGTTTTTCTTTTTAAAACATCTCTGCTTATACTATGTCTCCTCGCACTAATATCCCCCAAGGTGAAGGTGGGGGCTGTCAGTCCAGTTCACAACATACCCTGAGTCTAGGACCCATCCTGGGAGTGGGAACATGTATGTTAACTGAGTGAGTGACACAGCCATCCCTGCTGTTCTGTCCTCACCTTGAAGAGGTACTGACAGCTGAGTTGCAAGAGCCACCTTTGGCCCACTAGACCGAAACCCACAAGCCCCATGAGAGGTAAGAAAAATGTCTCTATGAGTATCCATTATCTGGCAAGCCCTGGACCAGAGATGTTTTACAGTTCAGGGTTTTCTGGGATATCTGCACAGACTTCATGGTTGACACTCAAACAGTTTGGATTTCAGAGTATTTGGATCTAGGAGCTTAGATTTAGGGATGCTCAACCTGCATCTGCACTCCCACATGTCCTTGACTGACACCTGCGCTTAATCTTGGGAACAACCACCACTTTCCTAGAGATTACGTAATTTGTATAGCATCATGTAAACTTTGATTTTTTTCTTTTGTTTAAAGCACTCTTTACCCTGCCTGAATCCAATTCCTCTTGAGGTTTCCTGGTATAAAGTTCAGTTTCACATTCCTTCATCACACAGCCCATCAACAAACATCTCTCTTTTCATAAGTTGAGGGTCTGTACCATTTTTTCTGGGAACTGTAGGCTATTAGTCTTCCTTTCCTAAGTTGCTGTGAATGGATCCCACACTAACATGACATGCTTTATAAGTCACTTTCCCCATCACATGCCTGCAACAGGCCCATGTTGTACCATATGCCATTGGCTTACTGTGCAGTCTTGAATCACACACCTAACCTTTCTGTTTGTTAATCTTGCCTCAAAATCAGGACATTAACCAAGAAAGTTCATTAACTACAACATGCTGCGCTTAGCACCACACACAGATGGCATCTACAGCAGCTGGCTCTTCCAGGGACAAGGGAGTACAGCCTTATCCTCCCACTGGCAATGTCTGAGGGCAAAAGTACCAAGTGCCTGCCGTCTCACTGAGCACAGAAAACTGAGACACTCTACACAGATAGCCCCAGCGAGGCCCTGAAGTGATCAAGACCAGAAAAAGACCCAAACTGCTCCACGGTGAAAAGCACCCACCAATCTACTGATGCAGATGTAAGACCAGCCTGGCATAATGATCAGGGAGGATGGCAAGCTACATTTCTTCAATATTGGCATAAAAGCCAGTCCTGCCTTGGGGAAGGACCAAGAAGGAAGAGGAGGATCTGTCTGTCTGTCTTTCCTTTTTTAGTGATTCGGGAACCTTCCAGAAAAGATGAGCACTGACTAGGATGTGCAAAAGTCTCTGTGAAAAGAGGAGAGGCCCTGTGAGCAGAAGCAGAGAGGGACAGCAGGGCCCTCTGGTCCTTCCATGGCTGAGCCCTTTCCTGGTGTCTGAAGCTCAGTGCTGCCCTCATCTGGCCTGCATACAGAACACAGCCTCCCACCTGCCACTCAGTTTCACATCCGGGTCTCAGGTTTGACTCACAGCAGTCAGAAAGGGCAAGTAAACAAACTGAACAAAACTAAGGCCCCTTTCCTTTCCCCTAGTCAGAAAACAAAGGATTTCAATGCCTATATTTATTTAGTTATTCCAAAATAAATCCTCTTTCCTTAAAAAAATAATAATTTTCCTTTAATAACGAGGTAAACTGGACATGTTGGCTCACATCTGAAATCCTGGCACTCAGGAGGATGAGGCAATAAGATTGCCACAAATTCAAGATTAGCCTTAGTTACAAAGTGAGGCTTTATCTTAAACAAATAAACAAGGCCCCTAAAGGTTTAGAACAGTGGTTCTCAATCTGTGGGTCTCAGCTCCTTTGGGGGTCACATATCAGATATCCTGTATATCAGATATTTACATTACAATTCATAACGGTAGCAAAATGACAGCTATGAGGTAGCAATGACAACAATCTTACAGTTGGGGGTCACTATAACATGAACTGCATTAGAGCTGCAGCATTGGGAAGGTTGAGAACTCTGCTTTAGAAGATATGAATGTCAGGATGACAGGGTTTGAGCTGAAATCCTACCCCTATCAGATCTTAATCTGGTTTGCTGTTGGAACCTCTTGTTGGCAAGCAATAGCTTTCTAACCATGTCACCTCCCTCGGCAAGGACTCACTCTCAGACGTCCTTCGTCTGTGGCTCTTGGGCAGACATCGCTGTCACCCGAGCCCGCTTGCTCAGTTCTTCACCAGGAGGCTCCTCAGCTGCTTCCAGCTTGCGTTTTGGGGAGGCTGGGCCACTGGACGGTGGTCTGGGGCCTGTGGAGAGGCACAGAGACAACACCACAGTTACATACCACAATGGTCTCAGCAATGACTGCTCCTTGGGGACAGGGAGCCCTGTCCTGGCCTCCTTTTCAGCAGTGACCTCCCTTGGAGCTGTGAGGAGGGCATGGCCTGGCCTGCTGGCAGCAAGGCCAACTTTTGGTCTCAAGTCCCTGGCTCCAGGCCAGAGGCTGATGGAGCACATCTGCTGTCCTTGCTCTGAGGGTGAGGCTCCTCTTTACAGTCCTGGGAAAATCTCGGGGGTTCTGGCCACTTCCGCACTATGGAGGACCACCAAGCTAACAGCACCCTCACTCTCTCCCTGCTTCTCCTGGAGACCCCGGGCCACCTGACTTCTCGCCTCCCCATCCTCACACTGCTCCTCACTGTTCACTAGTGAGACCTGGCCCTGCTGACTTCTTCCAGTGCAGGAAGACAGGGTGATGGGGAGTCAGAGTGCTCTGCTCCACCTTGTCCCCTGCTCCAGCTTCCTTCTTTTCCCATTTCCTTCCCCGGTTCTTATCAGAACATTGCTAAGCAGTTCCCCTTGGCAGCTCCTATTTAAAGTGGCCCCAAAGAAGCCCCCATTCCTAATCCCACATCAAGCCACTCAATGCTATTCCCTCAAAAATTCTTACAGCATGCCCTGGGTGGAAATAAGCATCATCAGGTACATGCTCATTTTGGCCTCAGCCATGAATGACTGAAGTGGTGACACAGGTCACAGAAGGCCAGGGAGGCCAAAGTGCAGTGTAACTACTCACCCGTGTTGCTGATGCTCCCAGCCTGGCTAGAGCTGGGCTCTGCCACGGGGTGACTGAGGTCTTCCACACAGGAGGGGACAGACGCTAGAAGGCCTGGAAGACAAAGCAAGGGGTAGTCAGAAGATCAAGAGGGCCACTGGTCATGAGAAACAAAGGGACCAGGAAGGCAGGGCCAGGACACGGCCTCCACCTTCTCCCAGTACCCCACACTGCTCAGGACACAGCCTCCATTTCTCCCAGCACCCCAAGCTGCTCAAGGAGCCAAGTCTGGAGCAGCCGCAGTGTCCTTCACAGCCTCAGGTTAAGTCCTCCCCAGGGTGAGTGAGATGTCAGTGGGGTAGGAGTTCCTTACAGAGTCCCCGGTATCGTGAGAGCTGCTGGTAGATCTGCTTCATGCGCTCAATGTTGAGCCGACTAGTCTCAGCATGATTGACGATGGGCCGTGGGTAGTCCACACCAATGATGCACTTGGCGGCCTTCTGAACTGACTCAGGGGCATTCCAGGGCTCATAGATGTAGCGAGAGGGGAACCCTTTCAATTTGGGCAGGTATCGCCTGAAACACACACCAGGTGCTATATCAGCACACTGTGGCTCTTCTTCAAAGGGCCCAGGGTATCCCAGTCCAAAAGGAGGTCACGGTGGTTCAGAGCTAGAGTCTGGATGCATCCTCACCGAATATAGTCCCCACTGGGGTCTGTGCGGCGGCCGAAGCCCACAGGGCAGTAGCAGTGGAAGAACTGTTGGAAGAAAGCACTGCAGGACAGCCACATCCAGCTGCCAGCGTTCACGCTGAAATCTGCATCCAGAAGCAGCTCATCAAATACCTAGAGAGGGGACAACCAGCCTCCTTGGAGACCTGACGCTCTGGTTCTCTCCAAGTCACTCTAATACCCCAAGGAGTCAAAGCCCTTCTGCTGAGGATGCGGAGGATGTGGAAGGGATCTCCTGGACCCAGGGATCCCACCCCAGCCCCCAGCCTTGAAGGGGGCTGACCTTGGCTAGGCCTGGTCACAGGGTACAGGCCAGCTTGCACTCACCCGGACCCCGCTCTCCCAGCTGACCCAGAGGTCCCCGCGGGTGAGGAAGCAGGCCACAGCGTGCCGGGCCAAGTGGTGGATCCAGCCCTCCTGCCTCAGTTGGGTCATGATGGCGTCAATCCAAGGGAAGCCTGTCTTGCCCTCGGCCCACTTGGCCAGGGCTTCAGGGTTGCGGTCCCAGGGGATCTGGATGCAGATGGGGTTCCCCTCCATCCGGTCAAACCTGGGGTTGTTGGTGGCCGCTGTGTAGAAGAACTCTCGCCACAGGAGTTGTCCAAACAAGGAGAGGGGGGGTGTGCTGTTCCTCTTCACCTGAGGGGTGGGCACAGCACACAAAGGTGAGCCCCTGCCTGGTTCTTAGCACTGTGATGCTCAGGTCTCCTGCACAGAGCAAGTGCAATGGCTTCCAAGTACAGTGGCTCCAAATCCCACGTGCAGAGGAACTGGACTTACAAGTTTCATAGTGTGCAGCATGCAGGCCCTGCCCTGAGCACCAAGACTGCCTTCAGATGGCCAGCGGTGGGGGAATGATGCGTTGGGACTCTGCTATGGGACCAAACCCTCAAGATACTCTGGATTCTGTAGTTCTACCATTTAGAAAGCTGATGGGATTTTACACATTGCCAGCAGTTAAAAAATGTGAAGTCTAAACACCTAAATATCACTGAATCCAAAGAAGCTGAGCTGGTGCTTACCTAGAGCCTCTACCTCTACTAGCTAGTGTTCTGGAACATACACTGCATGCCACCAGAGGAGAAAGGTAAACACCGTGCCAGCTGCATACCCTCTGATGTATAATGGTGACCTGCCTGCACCATACACTGTACAGTAGTGGCATAAAAGCTGTGGGAGCGACAAATCACTATCTGATTGGATTTAAGGCCAACCCCTTGAGGTAGAATTCATCCCTGATACTATCCAGGTGGCAGAGAGCCTGAAAATAGATAGGTCACAGACCTAGGGGAAAACCAAAAAGCATAGCAATAAAATGACTCCTAATGACATTGTGCTATACTTATAGATCAGTGTCTTGTTTAGTCACCATCTATATACAGGGACCCACAACTGGACAATGTGTAGAGAGTGAGAGACCTCAGAATACCGAGTCCTAAATAGGATGTCTCCGTCAAATCTCTCAGATCACAGCTCAGGAAACTCTTTGCAAGAGGAGGTACAAAGATTATAAGAGCCAGTGGCAATGGAAGAAACCAAAGAAAAAAGCCTTCTAGATACAACAGGACTGAAGCACATACGAACTCACTCACAGAGACTGTGGCAGCGTGCACAACGCCTGGACAAGTCTAACCCAGATGGAGTCAGCTCTGTGAGAGGACGTGGACACAACCCCCAACCCAGAGGCTGCCTCTAATTGATAGCAACGCACAAAGGAAAAAGAATTTTCTCCAATGGGGTCTCACTGGGCATACAAACCACACTTGAGGGAAGGCCCCATGCCCAGCAGTATATGAGCAGAAGGACAACACAGAACAAACTCAAAGGTGTTTGGGAGGGGGGCCTCATAATGCTTTGGCTGGCATTTTTTTCTTTTTTAATTTAACCTTACAGGTCTTTTGCCTATATATTTTGGTTTCTGGTTTTGTGTGCGTGAATGTCTATGTCCTTGTGTTAACATGTGTTTCTTAGGTTTTTTCCTTTGGCTCCCCCTCCCCTGTTCATTTGTTTTGTCCTAATCAGGTTTATTTATTTTTATTTTGTCTTATTTATTTTTTCTTTTCCTTTTCTTTCTTTTCCTCTTCTAGATGCCTGTTCATATTCTAATGAGGGAAAGAAAGAAAAAAGAAAGAAAAAGAAAGGAAAGAAGGAAGTGTGTGGATTTGAGGGAGTGGGGAAGTGGGGAGGCTCTAGAAAGAATTGGGGAATAGGAAACTGTATTCAGAATACAGTATATGAAAAAATGTGTTTTCAACTGAAAACATTAAGAAGTAGCAAGTCTAGATTTTGGCTAAATAATGTATAAGTAACAGTCAGAGACACAAAAGGATAAGTTGAACTACACAAGCAGGGATTGCCCCTTCCACCAAGCCACCAAACCCCATTCCAGGAAGCCATGCTGGCTGGGCAAATCACACTAAAAAACAAAGGCACAGTGTGACCTGAGGAGCTGTTCTGTGGAGTGCTTTAGCAGAGCCTCCTGGCTGCCTGGCTGCCTGGCACGTCCTGTAAGCAGCCCTTTTAGGCCAGCCCTCCATTACTGAGTGACACCAGCCACTCCTGGACTTCCTTTAAACTCTGGTCCCAGCCCCAGTGCCAGCAGGTGCTTAGGACTCATTGCTCACTTCCTACCCTGAGGTCCCAGCCTTTCCTGTCAGCTGCTAGTGAATGTCCCACCTCGAAAGCCCAAGGCCAGCTTTGCTGGCTCTTCCTCAGAACCATAGAACCTGGGTTCACATCAGTGACTCAGTTGTGTCCGGCTGTCTGTCACCTCTCAGAAACCAACCATTTCCAGCTTCTCTGAACTGAGTGTCTCCAGGACTCGCACAGCCCAGCCCAGCCCCCAGCCAAAGAGAAGGGCCCTTTTTGGGATGACTGGCAGTGAGTGCTGTGCCTGGGGTGACTGACTGCTCACTGCACCTCTCCTTCTGTTTTTGTTTTGTTTCTCAAGACAGGGAGGGTTTCTCTGTGTAACGGTCCTGGCTGTCCTTGAACTCACTCTGTAGACCAGGCTGGCCTCGAACTCACTGAGATCCGCCTGCCTCTGCCTCCCGAGTGCTGGGAGTAGGGGCGTGCGCCACCACTGCCGCTGCCACCACCACCTGGCTTGCACCTCACCTTCTTATACAAGTCCCACAGGCGGTAGTAGAAGAGGCGGCAGGAGAGGCATCCGAAGCGCAGGTAGGGGCTGAGGCCTGTGGGGCTGGCCAGCAAGGAATTGGCATTCATCCGAGGTCTCTCATAGTTGGCAACCCAGGCCTGCAGGAGAGAGAGGTGACAGCAGGAAAGGCCAGGGTGTTAGACAGTGAGGATTCTTTACCTGAGGTCAAGGAACAAAGGCCCTGGAGCCTGGCTTTAAACACTGTATACAGTCCACTCTCCTGCCTGGAGGCTGCATCCATCTGTGTTCTTGCCCTGACTTCCACATCCAGCCGGTGGCATGACTGAATGACTTCTTTAGCTCCTCAGCTTCTTAGCTATTAAATAAGAACATTTACCATCTCTGGGGATTAAATGAAGTAGGGAAGAATGCTGAGAACATGGAACAGAGGCTGTAGTTACTTAGAAGGAGGGAAAGGCATCTGCTTTACAGAAAACAATGTTCCTAGCTCAGTCCCTGCGCTAGTCACCAGGAGCTGAGGTTTTCACCGCTGAGTCTTGGACACCCAGGGGCTTTCACCATTGTTAAACAGCCAGGAAAATAGGAAAGTCCTAACCCATTTCCGGAGACCAGCAGAGCCATTCACTTCTGGGGCCTCTTGTCTTACATCCCTGGTCTTGTGTCCTCATCAACAGCCTCTAGCACACTGCCCTCCCTTCCAAGGAGGATCCTCACTAACCCTCAACACACTAGGAGGATTCTGCTATCATCTTCTACAAGCAGGGTAACTAGGCTCACGAGGCCTCTGTGATTCTCTTGGGATTAAGGTCTAATAAGAGCCTGGGAGTCTCACTTGAGACTCCAGTCTCCATGCTACTATCTCTCTGTTCCTGACACCGTTTCTTCCTGCCCACTTCAATACCTCTCTGTCAGCCTTCAAGTGTCCTTCTGTCTTATGGAAAAGCAGACAGGAGCAGCTTATGAAAAACCTCACCCTTTCTCGGTCTGGTGGAGAAACACCTCAACTTCCAATATCATTGACAAGCTTTCCCACATCCTCTTCCTCTCTGAATGAAAATGAGGACACAGTACAGCAAAGCAGAAAGATTTTACTGTAGCTATGAGGGAAAGTTCAGTCAGAGGCATCTAGAAGGGTCCAGACTGAACAGGGCCATGAGAGGAGAGATGAGGGGAGAGCAAAAGAGGAAAGGAGGAAGGACAGAGGGCAAGCAGACCAAGACAGTGCATATCCAAAATGGCCGGATTATATGGAAATCAGAGGCTGGGGGAAGGGAAGCCTAGGCCCTGGATTGGAGAGGTTTAGGGTAGGGGTCAGAATCAGAAGTGCTGGGAGGAGCCACAGGGACCAAGAAAGACTTGTCCTGTGTTTCTTTGGGACCACCCTCCCCCACAATTTCTATGCCAAGAACATGAAATAATGATCTCATTTCTCCTCTGAAAACCAAACAAACAACCTGCAAAACAGAGGACTTGTGATAGCTATGGGCCTCATGCACAGGCCGTTCCCTCCACAGCCAACCTGGCTCCATTACCCACCCCCACTTCCAGCCACCTGCGTAAGCCTTGCTGTTTGACTTCATGGTGCCCACCAGCTCCCAGTCACTCCCACACCACTGAGTCCTCAGACACTGCTGCGCTTGTCCTCTGGTCGCTCTCACCAGTGCCACGTCCTGCTGTTCGTTCCCCATCTCTGCCGGGTCTCTCAGGACTCATGTGCTCCACCTGGCTAGCTGCTACTCCCTCTGTAGCTCCATCTTGTCTACATCCCTCCAATGTCCCAGTCCCGGGCTCTGCTTTGCCCCTAGGCCATCTCTTGGCAGGCAAGCATCTACGGCTGCAGCCCAGCTGGTTCCACACTGCCTTGTGCAGAACTTGCTCTTTTCTTGAGTTCACACTTGGGCTGGACTCTTTGAAGAGAAAACAGTTTTATCTATTTCACCACTCAAGAACAGACCTAGCCATCACCCTCCCCCATATCCTGGTACTGCTGCACCCAAACTTCTCAGGCGTGTCCTGCTCTTTGCATCCACTGCTGCTAAGATCACATCTAGGCTGGAATACGAAGACAACCTCCTCCAGGCACTGTCCACACTGGGAATGGGGTGCCAGTGCTACTCAGAAGACTGACAAAGGCTTCGAAGCAGCCCACACTTCTCCTGCCTCTCCTTGTCCCTGTTTCTCAAGCACTTGGCTGTCACCAGAAGTGGCAGATGTGGTTCTCCTCTGGTATCTGTCCTTCCCCTGCACTCTCACTTGGTTGTTTAAATGTCTCTGAGCAGACACGGGATACTTCTGCCAGCGCATCTCCTTGCTCCCTGTGCCCTGGTCCTGCAGTTTCAACCCTATAAAAATTGTTATTCATTGGTTGATTTGTGTGTGTGTGTGTGTGTGTGCGCGTGCGTGCACACCTGCATACGTGTGTACATGTGTGCAGATGTGAAGGCTAGAGAAGATGCTAGGTGTCTTCCTCTATTGCTTTCACTGTACTTGAGACAGGCACTCTCACTGAACTTGAAGCTCATTTTTGTGGGTTCTTTTTGGGGAGGGGCTAGATTGGTGGTTAGACAGCTCCAGCCATCTTCCCTGTAACTGGAGTTACAGGTATGGGAGGTCGCAATCAGCTTATTTTTTTTTTTCAGAAGTTGATTATCTACATTAAACTACATGACCAGCTAGCTGTACACGTGGGTGCTGGGTTTTGAACTCAGTCCTCCTGCTTGTGAAACAAACACTCTACCCTTGAGCCACCTCTCTCCAGCCCTCAATTTTTTTATTTTAAGTGAAACAAAGACAGAGAGACCCACACAAATGGGTGACTTCATGAATTCTTCTAAAGCAAACATCCAGGTAATCACCAGCAAAGTTCTGGAAACAGGACCTTGCTAGCCACCCAGGAAGCCAGGCCCCTCTCCCTCCACGCCCCACTCCCTGCTTTTATAATTATCACTTCCTACATTTTTGAGATGTTTACATTTTTCTACTTTTGCAAAGTGTGCTTGAAGAAGCTTTATTCTTCCACAACTATTCTTGGATATGTAAGTACCTGTCCTCCCACCCAACTGTGCATCCCTAAGGTGCCCATAGCTTAGTCTCAGCATTCAAAAAGCATCCACATCAAAGCTCTTTTAAGCATATACTCTCTGCCACTTCTTCCTTTTCCTTTTGATGTTTCTGTGGAAGGACACAGGCACTACACTTGTGTGGATTCTGTCCTGTGTGTTGCCTATAGGTTGGACTGAACTTGGGTGTGATTCTTTGTGAAGTCTACAGTAGGGGGCACATGATGCTTGCCTATCTCTCTGATGGTGGCCGTGGTCATTAATGCATGTGCCATCACTGAGGCTGCAAAGTGGTAGCACTCTAATTTTACTATCCTTTTTTTTCACTTAATAATCAGAATACTGGGGGCTGGAGAGATGGCTCAGTGCTTAAGAACACTAGCTGGTATTTCAAAGGACCTGAGTTCAAGTCCCAGCAACCACATGATGCAACCATTTGTAATGAGATCTGGGGCTTTCTTCTGGCATGCAGGCAGAACACTGTACACATACTAAATAAATTAAAAAAATAATCCGAATACTGGAGTTCAGCATTTAGGTGCACATGGTGGCTCAAAGCTGTCCATAACTCCAGTTCTAGAGGATCTAATCCCTCTTCTAGATTCTGCGGGCAACAGGCATAAATGTGGTGCATAAACATGTATGCTGGCAAAACAGACATATAGGATTAACATAAATCAATCTTTTTTGAAGAACCAGAATGTCATTACAGAGAGCTCCAGAGGTAAAGAACAAACAATCTGCCCCTTTTTGGTAAGAGCATCAGTTCTAGCGGGCAAGGCAGAACTAAGCCTACTTTCTGACTCTAGGAGTGGACTCAGGATTCGAATGTGGTCAGGGGAAACACTTCATCCCTGGCCACAGTGACAGAGCCAGGGAAGAGCACGTGACCCAAGCCAAGCCAATGAAAATACTTCTTTGGATTTCTTTTGAAAAAGAGGCAAGCCCCTTCCTCTGGAGAGCCAGACAACCTGACTACCTTCTCTCCTACTAAGAGAAGCTGGCCTGAGAGTAGACTCACACAGAAGACAGTGAAGCCAAGAGATGGAGGACATCTGCTCCAACATTTTTGGGACACCTGGATCTAGCTATGCCCTAAAGCTACACCTTAGATTCCCATTATGTTAGTTTTAAAAACTCCCTTTCAAAAGCTAGTTGCAAGTGCAACACTTGATTGATAATTAATCCTGATGCTCTTTGCTCCTGCTGCCCTCTGATGCTGTTTCCCTAAGCGTTAGGCCGCCTGTCAAGACACAGAATGTTCTTCTGGAAGCTTCTCCATGTCTCTCCTGCTCATCAGCTTTTCTGTTCCTAGAACATCCTGATATAAGTGACTGCTCCCTTCAGATCTGAAGAACCAAAAAGGTTCATTTCTCCAACCTAACACCTCTGGCTCTCCCCAGTGAGTGGGGTGGCAGCCACAGATGTGGGGACACCAGACCTTGAGCAGAAACCCACTTCCCCTTCGGCCTGGGAGCAGGCATCTATGTAATGTTTACTGAAAACAATTCAGTGCTTTAGGGCTCAGATAGGGCTTGCTCACTGAAATACCATGCCTTTCACACCCCCCTACGGCTAGATGCCTCTTCCTGTTTCCCTGTGGTGTCTCCCTGATTCTGGGGCCGGAGATTAGACCACCAGCCAGGAGGAAAGAATGGTATGTAGATGAATGGCAGAAGTCCTTAAAAAAGGGAGGCTCCTTTTTCTTAGAGAGACTTCTCCTGAGACTTCTCCTGAGAGCTCTGCTAAGCGGACTGGGGTCTCCTCCTAAGCTGACTTGGGAAACATAAAGTTTTCTTAAAGCAACCGACCGGTCTCTGTGTCATCTATCCCGACCACTTCGCTACATTCTTGGATGCAGGCCGCACAGCAGGTGCGACAATTGGAGGATCCCACCGAGATCATGAAAGCGAGGTAAGTGAGCCGGTTCATCTCTTTTTCTGGCCAGGGACAGATTGGGGAAAAAAGAAAAGAAACCATGGGGAATAGTTCTGGGAAGCTTAAATTACAGTATCAAGTTAAAAAGTTACTTGAAGGACATGGGACTACAGTAAAGCCTAAAACCTTGGAAGGCTTTTTAAAATGGATTGAACGTGCCAGTCCATGGTTCATTACTGAGGGAGGCTTAAATGTCCCAGATTGGAAGGATGTTCGCTATGATCTTTAGAGTCGGGTGTTGGTGGCATGTGCCTTTAATCCCAACACTTGAGAGACAGAGGTAGGTAGGATGGAGGCCATCCTTGTATATAGAGCAAGTTCCAGGACAGCCTCCAAAAGGATAGAGAGAAACCCAGTCAAAAAAAAAAAAAAAAAAGAGGGTAAAATAAGAAAAATCTCCAGTCTTTCACCTGATCCACTGAGGTCAGGAAAGTAAAGAAAAACTCAGAGATCTAAAAGAATAGCCAAATAGTAAGGCTATAAGTATGTATTTAAAAGAGGGTACCAAGCTAGGGGTACCAGATTAAATGTCTAGGCCTTTGCCTGACAAAGGTCAAAAAAGAAAAGCTAAACCTAAGAAGTTGCCCTCAGTTGGGAGGGTAGATTAGAGAATCATCCTCAATGGGAGGATGGATTAAAGATAAATTTAAAAAACTGGTAAAGTTAATAAATGAGGCCAGTTTTTCACCTGATCCACTGAGGTCAGGAAAGTAAATGAAAACTCAAAAATCTAAAAGGATAGCCAACAAGTAAGGCTATAAGTATGTATTAAAAAGGGGGTACCAAGCTAGGGGTACCAGATTAAATGTTTAGGACCTTGCCTGACAAAGGTCAGGAAAAAAAGGGAACCTAAGAGATCACCCTCAGTTAAAGGGTGGATTGGATTAAATGTCTAGGCCCTCACCTAACAAAGGTCAAAAAAGAAAGGGAACCTAAGATAAGAAGTTGCCCTCAGTTGGAGGGTAGATTGGAGGATCATCCTCAATGGGAGGATAGATTAAAGATGGGTAAATTTAAAAAATTGGTAACAGTTAATAAATGAGGTATTAGCATTCAGTAAAGAAAAAGGCAAAGGTATATAAAATAAAAATGTTTGGTTACATTTATATGGGGTAGGTTATTGATTCAAATTTAAGGTCAATTTTGTGAGTCATCTCTAAAAACTTTTGGCAAAAGCCTGGCCTTTCCACTTTGCATCTACAGAATTACAAGGAGTGGGTATGGCTGTAGCCCCTGAGTGTAGCTCAAAACTTCTCTAATGAAGAAATGACGAGGGACATACAGGACTTTTTCAACCTTTAGTTTTAAGCCCTCAGAGCCAGTCAGAGAGAGAGAGAGAGAGAGAGAGAAAAGAGAGGTTTTTTCAGGGAACTGTCCTGCCGCTTTGGCAGGCCCCCACCCCCAAAGGCATCTGTGTAGATGCAAATTAGGCCTTGTCAGCTCAGATGCAAATGAGGCCTTGTCAGCTAGTGAGAGCTACAGGTTACAGGTTAAAAAAAAAAAAAAAAAAAAAAGGGATTATTTGGGACGTAGTATAGTTTACAATCCTTAAATGATTTTCAAAGGTACTTAATGGTTATGTCCCTTTTAAAGGACATCTACTAATAATTTAAATAGTGATCCCAATTCACCTAGATAGTTGACTAAGGAGGGTAGACAAATCCTTCTACCGTTATGGTCCAACTTCAACAGTTAAAACAAAATTTAAAAATAAAAGGGGGGAGTAATGTCCCCAGTCCCCACATGATTCATTAAATAATCCACTCCTCATTTAAATATTTATAAAATATAAATGCCAGTGAGGAATCTGCTTCAGACAGATTCTGACATAATGAAAGTTAAGTAACTATTACTCAGGCCAAATGGAAACATCCATACACTAGACAGTAGAGAAGACCCTAATTTGGGGTCGAGGGCATGTTTGTGTTTTCTTACAGGAAAAGAATAAAGCTTCAGTAGCGGTCACAACATTTGGTGAGATGCATGGAGCAGAGAAAACTGGACCTGAGACCGTGGGAGCCTGCTCAAGCCAGTTCGAGATCTCCTAAATCAGTGTTCCTGACCCTTGATGTCATCAAATCTACAGCCCGAGAAAGAAATAAAACAGTCAGTTCGAGATTTCCAGTGTCTCATCAGGCTTGCTACATCAACCTCCTGGACCCGTGAGTTTTCATCCCAAAGCCAACAAAACTGGAAGATTAGCAGCTAGCCTTTGATACACCTTAAAACAACAAAATTCATTTTGCCAGCTTTTCCCTTTGGGGGAAAAAAGACCCATTTAAAACATTTGGACATTGGTATGGACTGTGATGAGTGGCAAAAGCCTCTTTTCAGTATTTGAACAGGACATGGTCACTTGAAATATCAGACTTGGTAGTTCCTGTTTCTGGAATCAGTGTGTTTTTCTGGAGAAATGTGGTTTGTCCTGGTGCGACAAAAAGACTTTGACTCGGGTTGCATGTTCGGCTGATACTGCTGACATTAAATCGACAGACTACATCACCACAGGAACAAATTGGTACTCTGTAAATAGTGCAACAAGCCTCTTGTTCATATTTTTTATAATGCTACATGTGTAACATCAATGATTGTACCTAATGTATCTGTGCAAGTGCACTCTCTAATGCTTTCCTAAGTAGATCTTAAAATGACTGTAAACTTTATCACTGTTTTGACCTTCAAATTGTAACTATAAATCTCCCTTGTAGCAAAGAAAGGCTGGTGGTAGAATGCTAAGGCCCAGATTGGGGGATGGGCAGGTGACAGAGAGGCGCTATGTCAGTGGGGGTCCTAGGAATGGTAACAGTGGTAGTAGGCATTCTGGCTTCATGCTGAGTTCAAAGTGCCTTAGCCCATGGCAATCCCGATAGCCATAAAGCCTTATTACAAATGATTTTAAGGGTGGGGCTACTTCAAAGACGGGCAACCTGTGGGGAAGACCCACTCCCACCTAACAGGGGTTCAAGGTTCCCCAAAGACGGGCCAGGGAGGGTGACCCTACTTGACCTAAGACAGGAGTGCCTCATTTAAAAATAAAAAGGGGTGAATTGTGGGGACACCAGACCTTGAGCAGAAACCCACTTCCCCTTCGGCCTGGGAGCAGGCATCTATGTAATGTTTACTGAAAACAATTCAGTGCTTTAGGGCTCAGATAGGGCTTGCTCACTGAAATACCATGCCTTTCACACCCCCTACGGCTAGATGCCTCTTCCTGTTTCCCTGTGGTGTCTCCCCGATTCTGGGGCCGGAGATTAGACCACCAGCCAGGAGGAAAGAATGGTATGTAGATGAATGGCAGAAGTCCTTAAAAAGGGAGGCTCCTTTTTCTTAGAGAGACTTCTCCTGAGACTTCTCCTGAGAGCTCTGCTAAGCGGACTGGGGTCTCCTCCTAAGCTGACTTGGGAAACATAAAGTTTTCTTAAAGCAACCGACCGGTCTCTGTGTCATCTATCCTGACCACCTCGCTACATTCTTGGATGCAGGCCGCACAGCAGGTGCGACACACAGAGGTGTGGAAAATGGACTCCTGACTTGATGATTTGAGAGGCAGCTACAAATTCTTTTAAAGTAATACAAATGAGAATCTATCAGGCCACAGGTTAACTCTGTACACTTGTGAGTTTTGCTCTTCCTGCCATTCCCTTTGTCATATTCACCCTCCGCTTCCGACCAAACTTCAGTCTCCAAAAAGCCTAAGACTCTGGGTACAGGGTTTTGTCTTTTCCTTCATCTTGTGCTAGGGTGGAATGAGGGGTCTGAGCATGTCTGGGAAACACTCTACCACCACGCTGCAACCCAGCCCTGGACAAAGCTCTTGATGTGGACAAAGAAAGCTGGTCCCTTGTAGCTGTTGACTCTGGGCCTCATCTTTCAAACTGAAGTGTAGGAGTGAACCCCACAAAGCTATCCGCCCATGAAGGCGGGGACAAGTAAATTAGCACAGGTAGATATAAAAGGAAGTGAAAGGAAAAGGACCCTCCCTTTCTCTTGGAAGCCAGCCACGCTTCTAACTCCTAGCTTGTGTCTCTCTCTCTCTGGTAAATAAATATATTGTATCTCCTATAACATTGGCTATCACAATACTGAAGGACCTTGTTTTTAGTCTAGACTGAGAGAAACATCAGGATGGGAATTTAAGTCTGCTGAACTGAGGGAGGCTGAGGCCATCAACACATCCTTCAGTGCTGGCTGGGAGACTCCTTCCTAAGCAGGCTGCCTTGAGTACTTGTTCCATTGCTATCATCTAGTTACTGGCAAAATGCCTTGTCACTTGCACGAGGACAGAAAAAGCCATGCCTTTAAAGGTCAGACTACAGAAAGACTGCAGAGCGAGGAGGCAAGAGTCCTTAGTCCATGAACCTGCTCTGCTCCTCCGGTCACAGGGGGGATGAGGATCATGGACACTGTGGAACACGACCTCTGGGGTCTCTTACTCCCTCCTTCCTCTTGCTGATTCCCATCACATAGGTGGGCCACTTGCTATCTAGGTCTAAGAAATTGGGAAGTAAAGCTGTGGAGGAAGCACAGATGGGGAGGGGGCCATCTGACACAAAATGATAGACCTCATGGGCTTTGCCAACTGAATAGTTCTATGATTTGATTCTATTGAGACACTCTGTAGCCCACTCTGGCCTGCAACCTAAAGCAATTCTTCTGCCTCAGCCCTCTTCAATGCTGGGATTGCTGGCATGCGCTGAGTCTGGTTGGATGTCCTTTCAGTAAGCGGAACCTAGCCACAGAAGAAAGTTAATCTAGTGCAAATGGTGTGAGCATGTAAACTAAGCCTCCTATGTTATTTACCAATGGTGTGACCTCAGGCAGCTTACTCCATCTGTCTAAGCCTAGTTTTGCTTGTCTGTCAGATGGGAAGCCTAACTGCTGCCTCTGGGACTGCTGCACTGAAGAAGGGAACAATGCAATCAAATACTTAAGCCAGTGACAGCACAGGGGTGGACTCTCGACCAGGAGCTATTGCTAATTTTGCCACCAGAAAATTTTCAGTTTTCAACCACTTGGAGATAAGAGGCTCCTGGGACATGAATCTGATCCACACCTGTTGCTGTGCGCCTGCAGTTTTGGGGTTCAGAAACAGGGTTATACCTTCCGTTCCAAGTGCTTATCCAGGCGGGCCAGCGCTTCTGTCTCTCCTCCTTGCCAGACAGCTGGGCCAAGTCCTTCCGTGGGGAACCCTACAAAAGGAGCAGCAGGCCAGGGCATTGCAGGTTGGGTCATCTGATTAACAATTATAAACATGATACTTTCCACTGCTTATACTGAACTGTTCTTTAAACGAAACCACAGACCTTGGACTTGGAGATACTGGAACTGAGAAAACCCTTAAAAGTGAAGAAGACTAACTTTATTCAGATCAGAAGATGGGTGGCAAGGGGGAGGGGAGGGAGGAAGGTGGATATATTAGTTATCCTAGTGGAGAAGACCACTGGCCAGAGCCAGACAATGCCTCTACTGCTAGCCGGAACTACACAAAGAGGCTTCAGCTAGAAATAGCAGCCTGGCTATAGAAATTCACTGGTCATGGGGGTGGGAGTGGTTAATAGCAACTTTTTCTGTTTTTGTTTTGTTTTGTTTTGTTTTAAAGGCAAGGTCTCATGTAGCCCAGGCTGGCCTGTTTCTCCTGTCTCTGTCTCCCATGTTCTGAGATTACAGGCATATGCCACTAGACCAATATTTCCTAACTTTGACAAAGAAACAGGAAAGCCACATCCCACACAGGAAACAGCAGCCTGTGTGATGTGGTACAGAACTTACGCACCCAGTTCCTCTAGGGAAGGCACACCATAGGTGTCATCGTGGTTCTCCTGGATCTCAGCCCTGCAGGTCTCCATCTGCTGGCTGGTCACAGCGCCCACTGGCTTCTTGGGCAACTCCATGCGGCTGATGAGGGCCTGAAAGCGCTTGTAGGTAAGGGGTGGTTTCTGCCCATTCAGTTCGATGATTCTGGGGAGCCCAAGGCACATCTAAAGTCACTCCTGAGGTCCTTTATTTTGGGGTCCCTTACCACCCAAAAAAGAGCCCAGACTCAGAAGCTCTGAGGGTCGCTCTCCTCATCAGCTCACGGTCCCACCCCTGAGCAGAAAGGGGGGGCAGGGGAGGCTGTATCTCCATTTTACCGAGAGGGAAAATGAAGCCCAGAGAGCTGGAACAGGTGCCTCAGGTAATGGAGCAAGGCAGGGCCAAAGCTGGGACTCAGTTTCAGGTTCCCTGGTGTCCACGTGGAGCCGCCTAGAGACAGAGACTGACCATATCTCTCTAATCAGACAGAAAATCCCCCATGGGCCTTCTGGGCATGTATGAGACCACACCAAGGGCCTCTCTCTATGCCATTTCAAGTACACATGGTAAGGGCTGTGATTTATTCCTTGCTTGGAGGATCACCCTCCTGTTAGTCCTGTTTACTAGAGTGGAGATGTGAAGGCCAGCTAATGCTCCCTAAATCAGAAGCTGTGGTAAACAGCAACAACACAAAGATCTCTGAAGTGAGCCAAGTATTTTTCACAAGCAAGAAGGGAGGGCATGAGGGCTGAAGAGAATGCCACTGCTTCTATAAGCGTAAACTTGGATGGTGCACAGCCAGATTCCTGGGCTCTTGCTGGCTGAGAAGGAGCTTATGCAAGGCCTGCGCCTGTCTGGGTGAGTTCATTTCCCTATTTGCTCTCCCTGCGCTGCCCCCATTAGCCCAGATAGAAGCTGGCTGCCGCCTCTGCAGTCCCTCTCCTCTGGCACGTGGCAGGGGAAGGCTCCACACCAAGCCTCTCCTCCCGAGGGCTTGGCTCACGTGCACAGCTGTGTGACCCAGCCTTCTGGCACACAGCCCTCATTGGGGGAGGAGGTCAGGGAGCAGCAGCAGCAACAGAAGGGTGATATCTCCAGTAGGGAAGCAGGGGACCGCTAAATAGAGGCTAGCCAGATGCTGGCCACGGGGAAAGGAGATTCTGCTGTGGTTACCAGAACCCTGTAGGGGTCTCTAGAGTCCTCAAACAGCATCCAAACGCATGGCCTGGAAACCCAGATAGGCAGAGCAGACCTGGGAATCATCCTAGGGTTGGAAACTAGGTCTGTGGGAGCAGAGACCTGCTGGGAGGAGTGACTGGTGGGATCTGTCAAGGTCAGATACTGCAGTTTGAGAGCACAAGAATGGGGAGCTTGAAGCAGGTTTATGAAGATCCTCCCTGCTTCTGCAGCTGGGGCCTAATCAAGCCTTTGTTATTCAAATTGAGCAACCTCTTGGTGACTTCTTTAGCCTCCAATTCTGAACCATTCTTGTCCAGTTTCTAGAAAGCACCATACCTCATAAGCCAGGTGGCCCTCTTGCTGAACTGGTCCAAGTTCCACTTAGTACCAACCCTCACCACAGGCAACCTTACCAAGAGCACCCATGCCTCTTACCTGTCTAGGTCATAGAGGGTATGAGAGTTCTCAGTCACGACCTCCACACCAGCCTCCTTGGCCATCTTCATAATGGCTGCATCCCGTTCTTTCCCAAAGGGTTCAGAGTCATATTCAAAGGTCAAGCGGGTCACCCCCCATTCCTGTGGAGAGATAATCCGTTATGCTCAGTACTGTTTGAGAAGCAGGACCTGGGCACTCAGCTCCTCTCTGGGAGTGAACAGGACCAATCTTGGCCATGTTACAATGGCTACAGAACAAACAAGGACATGGGACAATAGTTTCAATTGGAAAGAACCCAGGCTCACAAAGTCAGACCAACAGCACAGCTGTGCTGCAGTCAGTGGAGTCAGGGAGGGCCCTGCAATTCACTGTGGCCTTGAGGTGCGCGAATGGAGCTATAAATACCATGTTCCCAGGGGAGCCCCTGGCCCACAGAGAGGACCTGACTCACAGTGGAAATGGGTGGGGGAGACGCACACAGGATCACTAGCTCCCGCCTGCTCTGCAGTCTTTCCCAGGCCTCCTCAGAGTCTAACTTGTGGCCTAGTTTTCTTGGCAGACTTGTACTATGTAGAGTGTCTTAATGGTTTCCCCAGCAACACTCCCAAGGCCAGAAGCAAACAGAGCTAATAGCTCTCAGAGCTGGAGGAGGAGCAATCCTTAGACCAGGTTGGAGAACACAAATTGGAGGGGCTACAGGTTGTGAAGAGGGGAATTCTTTTCTGAGCTTTCAGTCAGTTCTGGTAGGAATAGCCTGGTCTCCTAGCAACACCAGGAGAAACCTGCCACATTGAAAGCTATCTAGACAAGTCACAGAAAGCCCTACAGCATGTAACTTGCAAGAAGCAAACAATCTAAGCAGCCTGTGGTCACAGGCCTTTAAAGCTTTGAACCATTGGCAAATGTCTTAATTCACTATCCAGGGGAGTGAGTTCTTAGCAGGGCAGATATCCAGCTCATCAAAGCACAAACGCACTAGGCGTTTATTTAGCACTTAACTATGCTAAGTGGTTTGCATAGAAGACATCACTACATTGTCACAAAAGCCTGTAAACAAGGACGGTCTCATTAAATGGCAGCCCCCACGCCTCCAGGAGGACTCTCCTGTGTCTGTCCTATTTCTACCACAGCATTTGTCCCAGGCAGTGAAGCTGCCCATTACCTGCCTGTGCTGTCCATCATCGTGTGAGCTCAGAGTAGAGGTCATGCTGTGTTGTGCATCCATCACTATCGTCTTATCAGCCAGTATGGGGCCTGATAGCTTGTAGAAGCTCAATAAGTACACAATCAGTGACTCAGTGAACAACAGAGCTACATTTCTGAGCAACAGCCTCTGAGCTACTGGGAGAGAGGAGCAATGTGGAGTGATAAGAAAGACAACATGATTTCTGTTACTGTTGTCTTGGTTTAGTGGTGCTTGGGATGGAACCCAGGGCCTCATGCATATTTGTCAAGTGCCACAGCCACAGACTAACAAATGCAGGTATATGGTAAACATACGGCTATGTGTCAGAGAGCCTAAGACCACTTCCTGGTCAGGGAAGCAAGTACTTTCCTCATCTGTAACCCTGAGACAGCAGAACCTACCTCGGGGCTGCTGTGGGGTAGGTGTCAGTGCGTGTTAGCAGCTGGAACAGGACTCCTAGTCAGGGGCCCTCAGAGAACATTAGTGACTAGTGTTCAGTGACTCATAGGTGTGTACAAAATTATGGGGGAGGGGAGAGACATACTATGAAGCTACTTTCTTTGACATCAGATTTTTCCCTCCTGGCACAGATTTTGGAGTGCTACTGAGCATGGAGGAGAATGCTCTAGAATGTTCTATCCATGGGAACTGTGTCTCAGCTTGGGCCTTAAAACATGCACTTTAAAGGGGCTGGGAGGAAATGGGCTTGCCTCCAATATGGCCCCCAAATGAAGATTTTATTAATTGCTTACCACAGGGAAACAGGGACGCTCCCTCAAATGCCTGACTTTTTTCCTAATAAGCAGAGCAAGTTGAGATGGGCAGCACCCCTTGTTAGACAGGAAACCCCACCCTCAAAGTCTTGGCAGTAACAAACCCTAATAAAAAATACTGGCTTGAGCCAAGGAAACACAGGAAGGCAGCAGCAATGGGATGGAAGGACTTAGCATACTGCATGTCTGGGCTGAGCTGGGATCCTTCCAACACAACGCTGGTTTTACAGAGTTTTTTCCCTTTGCAGTTTCCACCCTGCTGGCAAACTGACCAGCTGTCTCTGCTCTGACCTCCCTAGAAGCCATTTTAGTGGCCAGACAGGCACCAGTATTTCCATTTTGCCAACCAGAATAGCATTCCACTCTGTGGGGAAACGCCAGGCAACAGAATCTCCCCCTCAGCCCTACACACTCACCTTGAAGAGCCTTGGGAACACATCAGCTGGCTGTCCCCGGACTACAAACAGACGGGAGTTGAGTTTTCTTAAACTCGTGTCCAGATCTTCCAGAGATTGCAATAGGAACCTGAAGAATCCACAAAGCCCTTGTTAGTAACACAGGGTGAGGGGCAGGGGTGATAAAAACAGGACCCAACACACACATACTCTCTTTCTCTCTGTCTCTGTCTCTGTCTCTCTCCCTCTCCTTCCTAAGAACTGGTCATGACAAACAAGTTGGTATGATAACATGTAGGGCCAGATGCCTGGCTTGCTCAGTCCAGGAGTGATGGGGTTAACTTCTAGCTTTCCAGGCAGCTGTGTGATATGAGACAGTGACTTAAACTTTTTAGCTGTTTTCTTATCCATGGCTTGGAATTAACAGTAGAGCCTATAGATTTGCTAAGATGTTAGTGCTCATGAAATCACTAAGGAAATCAAATCAGATAATGCAAGGAAAACCTCAGGTACAGAGACTGGGCACAGAATCCACATGATCAGTGTGAGCTGCTCTTAATGCTATGCTTCTGTGGGTCTGTTAAACACTGAAGCCATGCCCACAAGCTGGGCTGTCTCTGAAGCTTTGTTTGGTAGGTGGCTCACTTTCCAGGCATCTCTGTGTGCCATAGTCCCTTGAGCCTCAAACTTGGTATACCTGTATTGTCCATGTAGTCAAGGCTGGTCTTGGATTTGCCATCCTCCTGCCTCAGCCTCTAAAGTGTTGGGATTCCAAGCATGAGACACCATGGCTTGGGCTGCAGGCATTTTTGATACTTGGGCTGGGTTGTTCCTGGGACTTGGTTCGGCAGGTTGCTTACTCTTCTGACCTCTCCATTACTCTGGATACGAGGTTCTCATCACAAGAGGCAGGGGCTTAAAGGTGTCCTGGACAGATACTGTGGCATGCTTGGGTATATGATAGGGACATAAATACTCTAGAGCCTGTGTAAGAGAACTGGGTCACCAGAGGACCAGGGAAGGAGTCTGCTGAGTCTGTCAGTGTGTTACTTTAAATTAAATTAAAATTTAACCAGGTAACTACTGATGCGGTTCAAAATCCCAGCGATAAATGGGTACAGAGTAAAAAGTCCTTTCTTGTCTTCCCAAAGCAACCAAGATTATCAGTTTGATTGTAAATTTATTGTTATGCTTTTTATGTATTTTCCTAATTTGACCCCTCAACGCATTTTCAAAGAACAGACAAGGGAACTGAGATAATTTACCAAAACTGAAAGCTAATAGGTGACTGAGCTGGCACAGTGGCCCAGGCTAATCAGACTCTGAAAGTCATGTCTTCTTCTCAGTGGCCCATTTCTAAACACTTCAGTCAAGCAGGCTCTGCTGCAGGGCTGAGAGTCTCCTGAGCCTGGAATTCCTCTCTCTGACAGACACAACCCTCATCCAGGCAGTCCATCCACATACCTATCTTCCTTCTCAGGACCCAAGCCTGAACAGGTCAGCTTATGTCATGGTCCCTCCAAAGAACCTGTTGTAGATCCGAGCTACATTTTCTGATTACTGGAGGCTTACAGAAGCCATGGGGGTGCCAATCAGAACTAGGCTCCGCCTGCCTCTGACGTACATAAAATGACACAATCCTGCAGTGCTGCAGGTCCACATTCCAGCAGGAGCCAAGCCCACAGCATCACCTTAGAAAGGGCACAAAGGCTCCCTCAAGGGTTAAGGCTGGAGACTGACAGTAGAGGCTGCTGTAAACACTCCTCAAGCCCCATGCTGTGAATTTCTGACTTAAAAACCCTGGCATCCTTTGAATGCTAAGTGATCTGCAAGTAGTCTCCCTGAGGCCTTGCTGCTCCCCACCAACACAGACACCAAATAAAAATAAGGAAGGCTCAGGGAAGCAGACAGTCTCAGCCACCTGAAACAGGAGGCTTTGCTGCGCACAGTGCAGGGCACAATTCCACACCTCAGGAAGGTGCAGGTTCTTCCATCTGAAACCCCCAAGATGTCCCAGCCATACTCTTTAAGGTCCGTATCTTCACAGCTCACCACATCTCAGAGAACCTCAATCTGCAGCTATTAAGGCTGAAATGCACAGGAAATATAGGTTCTAGAGTATGGTGCGACCTGTTTTCTATACAGCTTTATTTTTAGGACTCATTTGCTAAAAAAAGAGCTTCCTGCAGCATCTCTACAGCATGGAGGAGTACCCTTGTCTTCTCTGACAGAAAGCAGAAGGCAAAATCTACAGCTAGCAACAAAATAATGGTGCAATTCATAATGACAACAGCTACATTTACTGAGCACTCCCGGAACAAGGCTCTATCCTACTTGCTTTATACGTATTATTTAATTCTCAGACGACCCTGTGAGACGAGTGTTATTATCGTGTCCATTTCACAGCTGAGGAAACTGGCATTCAAAGATTAAGTAACTTCCCCCAACATAATATACCTAGTAACTGGCCAGAACTAGGAGCCTGGAGACCCTGCAGCTCAGTGTTCTCAGCTACCAGGCTTCTAAGCCCCACAGTGAGCACACCCACTGCTTGGAGCATGCAGTGAGGTGGGTGGTACTGCCTAGGGCTCAGCCCTTAGGGAGCATCGGAGCTCAATTCACAGCTAACACCTTTTTTGCACATCTTTGCTCCCAGAAGAGTGGTGCGAGGCTCAGCAGCACTAGCTGCCAAGACCAGGAACTTGCTAGGACACACACTCTCGGGTTCCATCACAGACTGCCATGATCAGAATCTGCCCTTCCATATGACTTCCTGGGAATCACTTGTCCATGAAAACTGAAGAAGCTCCACTGTGGAATGATCTTCATTTTGACCTTGATGTACAAAGCGCATTTTTGTTTCAAATTTGTTTCTATTGAGCCCCTCACCCCCACCTCATCACATTTTTGCTTCAGACTATTTGGCCCTTAAGAAATGTTTAACTGAACAGCATCCCAGGAGGCAAGAGGAAGAAGACACAGGGGCCAGGTCTCTCTCTGTGTAGCTTCTAGACTCCAGTCAGCCAGACAGGGAGCCATGCCACGGTATCACCTTTTGGACCTGCCTGGTGGCAGCTCTGTGGAGCACCAAAGGAACTGGGGTAAGCTGCTCCTGGAGAGTAGCCACCAGACAGGCCTACGTTTCCTTTCCTTTCCTTTTCTTTTGGTTTTTCGAGACAAGGTTTCTCTGTATTGTCTTGGAGGCTGTCCTGGAACTAGCTCTGTAGACCAGGCTGGTGTTGAACTCACAGAGATCCGCCTGCCTCTGCCTCTCGAGTGCTGGGATTAAAGGCGTGCGCCTAGGTTTTCTTAACCAGGGCAAAACTGGGCCTTTCCTCTGCGCTCCCTTCCAAGCCTGCTCTGCTCCTGCCCACTTCTCTTTACTTCAGGAGGGGGGACTCCACAGGAAAACAGCCTGAGCACTGGAAGGGGTGGTGCTGGGAGCTGACCCTCACCCTTGCTCCAAGTGGAGATCACATGGCAGACCACACAGCTTTTGATGGAGCAGTCAGAGCTCACCATTTTCAATGGATATGTACCAGAATTACATAAGTCCCCTGGAGCCAGGGCAGACAGAATTGGAGAAAAAGAACTGCGATTTACAAAAATACAGAGAAAACTGTCATTCAAGAAGTCCCGGAGGCTACCCCTTCAGAACAGGCCACTTAAACACTTCTACGACTGGAGAACTTCTCTGGGGATGGCACTGGCTATGTTGAGAAACAGTTTATCTGTTAACACGGAGAAGGGGGGTGATAGTGAATTCTTCTTTTGGGTGCACTGTCCTTGACCAAATCCCTCTGCTTCAAGCAAAGCTTATCTCACCATAACAATGATATTATGGGCTGGCAGACTGGTAACAGAATATTAATAGCTAGAAATTCACTTCTAAGATATTAAGAGAGTTTAAACCTCCGCAAAAAGGATAATCTAACCCCACAGTCTGTGACAGACTGCTTCCTAAATCTTATTTGTAGGTTTTCCATTTGCTTAATTTTAAAGAGATTGATAACAGTTTTCACACACCCCCCCCCCCCTTTATTTTTTTGAGACAGGGTTTCTCTGTGGCTTTGGAGGCTGTCCTGGAACTCGCTCTTGTAGAACAGTCTGGTCTCAAACTCACAGAGATCCACCTGCTTCTGCCTTCTGAGTGCTGGGATTAAAGGCGTGCACCACCACTGCCCAGCTCAGTTTTCACTCCTTCTGGGAAAATGGAGACAAACCCTTGGCTTACAGAACAGTGAAGCCCCTGCTAGACTTGCAGTGTGAATAGCACAAGGAACACAAATTGCTCTACTAGCAATACAGATCCCATCTCCTTCTTGCTAACTATGTTCCCAGGCTGCCCATTTCAAGAGTCCAGATGCAATCAGCTCCCAGCACTTGGGAAGAGGCAACCTCTTCCTCCCCAGATAGCAAGAGTTCCAAGTTTGTATCATTGGCTACTGAGAGAAATGGCTCAGAGAGAACATACTTCTTCTACTGACTCCCTCTGTTCTGGAAGCTCCTGGAAGAAATGCAGACAGAGCCAGGAACAAATTATTTCAACATAGTAGGAGGAGAACCCTGGCCAGCATCTAAGCTGTGACAGGGAGAGGAAGGTAATTAAAAATGGATCGAGTCTGACCCATTTTTAAAATCTAGAAGCCACTCACAGCTGCCTTTTGTTTTGGTTCTCACCCATAGTACCTCCTTCCTAGATACAGCAAATTTGGGGAAGGAAAGAGGAAAATGCCAAATTAGTGCTAGAAAAATATCCCTGGAGTCACAGAGCTCCAACTGACCCATAGACTTCCTACTATCACTAAAGCAAGGAGTATGGCAGTCTTTGATGCCAACAGAATATGAATATATATATATATATATATATATATAGTTGACGTAAAGGCCTTTCTCTTTAACTGACACTGTGGCTATTTTAATCTGAGTCCATCTGCAGGAGGGAATCAGTGTAACACAGATGATAGATTCTGATCTCCCACTTCTGCCATATGGACCCCACCCTTCTAGAGAGACTGCAGAGCACAGTACTGAAGCAGTAGGGGGCAGGGCCATTATGCTGCAGTCCCATTCTCCCAAGCTCCAGAAACAGCGCCGGAAGATTACACATACTGTAGTTATGCAGGGGGCAAGCTAGAATGGGAGGGGGGCCTGCTCTCAAACCATCAGGAGCAAGGGCAATGCCGGGGCTCCTGGAGTGTGTGTGCCTGCTGCCAGGCTCAGGAGCAGTTACCATATTCGATCTGTTTTGTGTTATTTCACCTCATTCTCCTGAAAGCCAAAGCTAATTAGACTTCCGGTCAATGCACTGAAGCAACACACTCCCCAGGTTGCTCTTCAGTGCAGCACTTCTGACACTTGGCTGCAATGACTTAGAAACACAAAAGCAACCCAGGCCAGGACGACTGAATCATAAATGCAGGAGGGGCCCAGGAAGCTTTCAAAGACCCTTAGGTGATTCCAATTAAACACATCTGTAGTTTGTCCCCTGTCTTATTTTGTTCGTGGCATTTAGGCCTCTGCCATTATGGTTGTTTACTTGTCTCTACTCAAATGCAGGCTCCGGGAGCACACCCGGCCTGCTTGTTCACGGCCATGCTTTGCAGCGGCCTGCCAGCTACAACTACTCACAAAACAACCTCCCCATTCATATCTGCATTCCCACACGATTTTCAGATTTCATCCAGGCATCTGAGCTGCCTCGTTCCTTCCCTGCTTCATTCCCTTGAAAGTGCAACTACAAAAGGGTGACCTACAAAAAAACCCATAAAACCAAGTTCCTACTATATTGAAGTTCAACCAACTTTGTGGTTCCTTTATCTCCAACTGCCACAAAGAATAGGCAGCCACAGGCAATGCTCCCCAAAAATCCCAGAAAAAGGAAAAAACACCTTCACGACAACCCAACAGTCAGATTCTATTGACTCTGTCTCGATTGGCAAACTGCCAAAAGGAAGAGGAGGGCAAAGTCTGAGGCTTGGTTTAATGTCTACAGTGGAGATGGTCATTTGCAGGTGTTTGTCAAATTCAACCTATCTATGGAAACTGGAACAAGACAGAGCAATAGCTCAGCCTGAAAACAGTGTGGGCTGGCTCTCCACAGGACTATCTTTAGTTGTTCCCTCTGTGTAAATGGGGCAGGAAGGGGCATTTAATAAACACGAGATGAGGGCAAACCCCTCTTGGAGAGGGAAGAATGGGGTGCTGAGAGCCACTGTCTCCTGGGAACTACCGTGCTCATCTGTGCACCAAGGCCGTAAGCAAACATCTCTCAACAATGCAAACAAACCAAGCAACTGCTAGGAGGCATTTAAAGAGTGATGGGTACATGATGTATCAAAACTTGTTTTTGAATGCTAGTTACAGAGAAAATACATCCGCTGCCTATTTAATTGTGTCACACAACGTGGGAAAGGACTCGCATCCTGGGAGTCATCGGGGCACTTGACATTGTGGTTTTGTGGTTCCTTACCCTTACAATAGCCCCTAAAAGTCTCATCTATAATGGTCCACCTGTCCTCTAAAAACCGTATCATGACAACAGGAGGAAGGGTTGATAGGTGATGCCATCCTCTTTGAGTATTTTTCTAGCAAAGTTATAACTGCAGACGGGGTCCTTTCAGATGAGTTAGTTAGGGGGTCACCTGGGAGGTAGCCCAGCGGGTATAGGCAGGTGCCTCCAGGCCTGACAACCTGAGCTTGACCCCTGGAATGGAATGGCGAATGAGAACATGCAAGTCGTCGTCCTCTACACACCGCCAGGGCATGTCCTTTCCCAACAAATGTAAGTAATAGTAGTAATAATAATAATAATTTTAATGGGTTAAGAACTGCTCTGGAGGTCAAGGCACAAAGTGGCACTACCCGATGATGCCCTTGGGGTCTCTCTACTACTGGCTAAGGCTAAGCTAGGGTCCCTGATCACCACCAGGGTGATTCTGTAGGGAAGTTAGCCAGGATTGGGGGGGGCGTAGTCAAACAAATCTGAGGCTTAGGGAAATCCTTGGGGCAGGAGTTCAGAGAGGGGCTTCTTCCCTTGAAGATGCTTTTCTTCACCCCCACGGCACACCCTTAAAAGCCCAAGATCAGAAAGTCCCCATTCTGTCTGGAACTGGCTGCAGGTCGACCAGAGTTTCGTCAGCACAGAGGGGTCATGACCTCGGTTCCCCAGCCTGTCGTGGAGTTCAGAGGGGGCCACACGGGGCGAAACCGCTGTGTCAGGGATGGCCGGAGTCCCTCGGTGTTCCCACCCCGCAGTTGTAGGGTCCCCTCACCTCCACCGGTTGATGCCCACGGACGAGGAGGCCGCGAACCACGGGTCGAGGATGTAGACACAGCGCACACACCGCGCCCCGCGCACGGCCGCTAGCAGCGCGGGGTTGTCGTGGAGCCGCAGCCCTTTGCGGAACCAGTGCACCGAGGACGCGCCGTCCGCGCCCATCGTCAGCGCGGGGACCGTCGCCGCCACCACAGCTGCCGCCGCCATCGCCGCCCCGACTGGGCCCCGACTGCTGCTCCGCCCCTGGCCACACCGTAGGTCCAGTACAGCGCCCGCCCAGCGGCCTATGATACTGCGGATCCCGGAAATGGCTCCGCCCCCTGGAGCCTGGAGCGCCTCTGTGATTGGATGGGACTCCTCCTCCGCTCGATTGGCCGGCAGCGCCGGCGCAGGCCCCGCCCCCTCACGTTCCCACCATGTGTGGTCCCCGCCCGGTAGCCTCTCGCCAGTGACGCAGGATGGCGCTGCCGCCCGCCCCGCGTGGGCTGAGCCTGGAGGGACCCCGGATCTCCTACGCGCTTCGCGTTCCCCGCCTGCATCTGGGAAGGACGGGGGTTGCGGTGACTCCGACCGATGGCTTACAGACCTGTCACCAGGCCCGTACTTGCGGTTCATCGCCCTGGTCGTATGCCAAGCTGAGCGGTGATTGCCTTACACAAACTGTCCTATTTTCTATTCTCATCTCATCCCGGTTACGTTCATTCCACAAACCCGGATGAAACAGATGCTCGTTAGTCTTATTCTGCCGATGAGGCAAGCTTAGGGCGCCCCAGTTTGAATGAATTGCGTAATACGGTGAATCCAGCAAGATTCCGTTCTGAAATTTCCAATTTCAAACCTTTTAAACCCACTTCCTCGCAGGGAATCTTGGCATTTATATGCAGCGAGGCATAAGGATGAAGGAGAAGCCCTTGTGTGCGGCAGAAGTGGGTTTGGGAGAAAGGGCAGGAGTTGCAGAGGACGTGAGTTGAGGCAGTAATTGTACCCTCAGATGAATTTATTTTTATTTGCTCTCTGTTTAGTAGACACAGTGCCGTTATTGTGCACAACTCTGAACTGGATTCCACGTGGGAATCAGAGACATGGAGGCCCCTACCTCATCTTTGAAAGCTCTACGTTTCTTTGGAGATTCTAGAACAGATTTGCTGATGGATCGAGTGCAGCAAAAGTTTCATATGGATATACCCTAAGATGACCTCATTGGGCTGGACTGCTGGAGCTAGCTATTAAGCGGAGAACTGTTTCGGTTTGTCCTTGCGCTGATCGCATGCTTAGAACCCTTCCCTCGCTCGGGAATGAGCAATAGAAAAATCTAGAATTTAGTCATCATTGTAATGGTGTTAATTGGCACCACTCTCTAGCCAGAGCATCACTGTGATCCTCATTTCCAGGGCTTCGTACATACTGTTCCCTCACATAAATCACATGCCCCAGCCCACAGCCTTTGTATCTCCGGTTTTCCTGATGGCAGCTGTCATTTTCCAGCTTCCTGGGCCCAGCCTTCATAGCGCCTCATCTCAGTTGGTGCTTTGTTTGATCCCTGGCCTTAGCCCACACAGAGTGGAGTCTTACCATTGTATGTCTGCTCCATCACACTATAAGACATGCAGTGGCCCCGGCTCAGTTACAGTCAGGGGCATTTCCCAGGTCTAGCTCAGTACTTGGCACTGCAGCATCCTGTGTGTCAGGAGGAAGAGGCTCAGACTGGCAGTGTCTCAGTCTATCCAGGGTCTGCCTGGCCCTCGCCTTTTGAATCTCCTCTGCATGTGCTTGTGGAGTGAATTGATATCTCCCACTAATTTTTAAAAGTGTTTTTCATTATTTTGAATTCCGGGTTTAGCCATGTGTCTGTGTATGAGTATGTGACCATGAGTGCAGGTGCCCAATGGAGTCAAGAATAGAGTGTCTCCTGGGACTGGCATTACAGGCTATTTCCAGCCTCCCAGTTGGGTGCTGAGAACCATCCACAAGCCAGGTTCTCTGCAAGAAAAGTACACACTCTTAACCACTGAGCCACCGCTCTAGCCCCTCATTCCTTTTTTTTTTTTTTTTTTTTTGAGGCCTGGCAGGGAGAGTATAGGAGAATAAGGAGAGAGTTCTTCTGAAAATAGCCTTTAGGGGGTATGTTCTTTTCTCCTTTAGACTCCCATAATGCTGTGTCTATAAACTGTAGCTTTCTGCAGTCAGGGGCTGCTCTTATCTTATTTTTAGACAGGTTGAAATTCCATTTGCTTTTCTCCTGTGTGACCCTGGACAAACTAGCTGTTACCATTTAATTTACTTTTATTGTTTTACTTATGTGTATGTTTGCCAGTGGATGCCATCATGTGGATGTTGATGTCAGTGAGGCCAGAGGAGGGCATTGGATCCCTTGACTCTGGAGTTCTAGGAGGTTCTGAGCTACCTGATGTGGGTGCTGGGATCCAGACTCTATTCTTCTGGAAGATCAGGATCTTAGTTACTTTTCTATTGCTGTAACAAAACAGCATAACCAAAGCAACCCCCAAGTTAAATATGGGGGTTCATGGTTCCAGCAAGTTAGACTCTGTACCTGTCATGATGAGGAGAATGGCAGCAGACATAGCACTGGGCAGTAGCTGAGACCTTACATCTGATCCACAAGCATAGCAGGCTAACTGGGAATGGCTTTGGCTTTTAAAACATCAAAGACCACTTCCAGTGACACACCTCCCACAGGGCCACACCCCCTAATCCTTCCCAGACAGGTTCACCAACTGTGGCCCAAGCATTCAAATATTTGAGCCTATAGAGGGCATTCTCAACTCAAACCACCACAAAGAAGTAGTTCTTTTAACCACTGAACCTTCTCTCCAACCCCTGTCACTTTCTTAATGGATGCAGGAGGGACTGTAATAGTTCCTTGGGCACAGTGAGCAGTTGCTATTATGGATCCAATTTGCATCCAATTTTTCCCTCCTTGCAATTTCCACACCTTTCCTTACACATACCACATATTCCATTGGTGATCAAGTGAGTGAGACTTCTACTAATTAAAAAAAAAAACTCAAACCAGGCGATGGTGGCGCACGCCTTTAGTCCCAGCACTCGGGAGGCAGAAGCAGGTGGATCTCTGTGAGTTTGAAGCCAGCCTGGTCTACAGAGCGAGTTCCAGGATAGACTCCAAAACAATACAGAGAAACCCTGCCCCGAAAAACAAAACAAAACTCAAAATAAGCCTAACAACTCAGCGATTTCCTATGGACACTATCCACAGACATCTGAGCCAGAGTGAGGGGCCGTGTGGTCCTGACTGCTGGCGGTGAAGCAGTTCCATCGTGCTATGTCATCGTCTTTGTTTTGTGTGGCTTGCGTATTCAGGTTGACAAGGATGACTCATTCCACAGAACGACTGCCTAGTGCTTGGGTGAATTACCTGGGCAACATTCAAGGGCCAGGAAGTCAGTCTGGCACTTGAAAGGATACTGAAGGACAAAGTCCCCTTTGGAGTTTTGTGCTTTAAAATGAGTATAGAAATACTGGAGTGAGGGCAAACAAGCCTGCATGTGACTAAAGAAGCGGAAATTTGAATTCTATTTCGGTTACCTCAGAGCTCCCCACCTCCCTGTTCATAAGGGCAACTAACAGCTGTTCCTGCTCCACAAAGGCAGAAGGAGAGGAGGAGTGAAGGGAAGACCTTGGGACTTCAAGGATGTGACGGGTCAGCCGGAGAGTGAAAGTCGTCTGTCTTCCCTGAAGATCTTTAAAACAAGTCAGTTCTGTTTTGTTGTTTCCTTTGGTCAAAGTCCTCTGTGGAGACGTTTATGTGACAACTTTCTGTTTTGGACCTGCCCTTTGCGTAAATATCTGATGATTGGTGGAAAGGTGACCACGCAGAGGGCGGAACATAACACGGCGACTCTAAGGTGCTCACGCCCTCTAGTGGTCGGACTTGGAAAGCACGAGTCCACGGGGCTCCAGTCTTCGTGCAGCCGCCCATGCTCCCAAACCTAGTGATCACGTTGGGAAGCTGCTAAGCTTTTTGAAAGCACAGAGCATGACGCCAGACTCTTAGTTTGGTTTACAGCTCCACCTTGAACTAGCAAATGGCTACGTACTCGGACAAGCTTCTTAATTTCTCCATGTCCCAGTTTCTTCATTTGAAAAACGGAGATGACTAAAATGAGAGCAAGGTAAATTGACAAATGGCTCAAAATTGATAGTCCAGAAGCAGAACCATAAGACTTAGTGGACAGGGGCTGAACAGTTGGTGAGCCGTTAAGAGCAGTTGTTGCTCTTGCAGAGAGCTCAAGTTTAGTCCTCTCCACCCAACCCACATGGTTCACAGGCATCTGTAACTCCAGTTCCAGAGGACCTATGCCCTTTTCTGGATCCTGTGGGCACCAGACACATATGTAGTGCTTAAATATACAGTCTGGAAAAACACTCAGTAACATAAAATAAAAAACAAGAATTCTGAACATTTTATTCATGACATTATGTCTTTGTGGAGTTGGGGGGAAATGGTTTTTCCTATAATGATAATGGGTCAACCAGGTACCCTAATGCAGAGAGAGAGAGAGAGAGAGAGAGAGAGAGAGAGAGAGAGAGAGAGAGAGAGAGAGAGAGAGAGAGAGAGACCAAAGGGAGAAACTTGACTGCATCAACACCTATACAAGCTGACTCTTTGCCTAATGAGCAAACTACAATAGCAAACTTCTTTACCTTTTGGGGTTGCAGATAATAAAAATTTCTTGAACAAGACATGAAAAACATCCATTCAGCCAGGCGGTGGTCGTGCATGTCTTTAATCCAGCACTCAGGAGGTGGAGGCTGGTGGATCTCTGAGTTCAAGACCAGCCTGTTCTACAGAGCTAGTTCCAGGACAGCCAGAGATGTTACACAGAGAAACCCTGCCTCTAAAAAACAAACCCAAACAACAACAACAAAACCCCCACATCCATTCAGGGAAAGGTTGGTAAGTTGGGAGTTTGAAACTGCATTACAGTTTAGAACATCTGCTTATCAAAACGTAAGAAAGTGGGAAAGCAAACCATATCTTCCTCTGTTCTGTAGTTCACTTCTGTCTGTTTTTATTAACTGACATCAACCCTGGACCTGGTTTTATTTTTTATTTTTTGGTTTTACGAGACAGGGTTTCTCTGCATTGTTTTGGAGGCTGTCGGTCCAGCCTGGCCTCGAACTCACAGAAATCCGCCTGCCTCTGCCTCCCGAGTGCTGGGATTAAAGGCGTGCGCCACCACTGCCTGGCTCTTGGTTTTATTTTTAAAAGCTCACCCTGAGAAAGAGTTGGGGTTACCTTGGGTCTCAAACACCCAGTGTAGTTGCCTCTGGCTAGTGAAGGATTTCCATTGGTATAAATCTCCATCTGAGTAGTCTTCTCTGGTAGATACCCCAAAACAGCATACGCTATGGCCCAGTAATTTAACTTCTAGAATAAACCAAACAAAAGCGAATGCACATGCGCACCAGAAGACATGTACAGGCATCTTCACACTAGTGTTATTAATGACAGTTTTAATAAAAAGCAATGCAAATGTCCTTAAGGAGTGGATAAATACATTTACTATACGCTATCAAAGGAATACTGTACAGAAGTAAAAGTGAATGAGCTATAGTTATAAATGGAGACAAGGATGAGCCTCATAAAGGAAAGAAGTCAAGGCCTGATGGGGGTGGCGCACGCCTTTAATCCCAGTGCTCGGGAGGCAGAGGCAGGCAGATCTCTGTGAGTTCAAGGACAGTCTGGTCTACATATTGAGTTCCAGGACAGCCAAGGCAACACAGAGAAACCCTGTGCCAGAAAAGAGTTCTTTTATAAATGGATATATCCATTGATATATCCACCGTGTGAAGTTCACAACCAGGAAAAATAATGTTTGGTGTTAAAAGCCAAATAACTCAAATATCCACCATCCAGTTGAAGGACAAATAAAATATGGTACATCCGTATAAAGGAATAAGATTAATTTCTGAAAGGGGAATTCTGACATGACTACAACATGGACGAGTCTTGAAAACATAAGTAGCCAGTCCCAAAAGATCATATATCAGAATTCCACTTATATAAAATGTTCAAAATGAGCAAATCTACAGAGGCAAAAAAAATGTGTTTTCTAGGGTTTATTTGAGCAAAGCAACTCCTGGGTAAATTCTCCAGTCCCAGAGAGCAAGGTTGGAGAAACCACACCCCCAGAGGTTGGGGATGGGCAGGATATGGGCTGCTTGTGGCAACAGGGGAGGAAGCTGCAAAGGTCACCAGGAATGCAGGACTGGGCTCTTTTGTCCAGTTCCTTTGTTCAGAGGCTCTCTGAGTGGGCGGGGTTTGAGGAGAGACAGAAATAGGGCTTTCTGGATCAAGCAGGGGCAAGATGGAGGTTCTAACCAAACATCCCTACCTTTTTGGGCATATGGGACCAATTCAAATCTGGCTCCTTCCTGTTAGCATGGGATGATGGGAGGGGGAGTTGGGAGTCGTGGGCTTTTGTTCAGCTAGAGGTATGGATGAAGAAGTATTCAGTTAACCACCACCCCGGAGACCTTCCGAATCTGTTCCTGGCGGAAGAGAAGAAGGCAAGGTGCTAGGGTAAGAAAACCTGACAGATTATTACCACTGTCCTAGGAACAGGATTAGGGAAGAGTGAAGACCCCTAGAAAGAATGGAGCCGTGCCCTGGCTGTATTGGAGAAGTTCTCAGAAAGTTTCTTCAGACTATGCGACATTAGTTTCCACCAGGCCAGATTCCTTGGTACAGTAGCTGCACTCTTGCCCCAGGAACTTGAAGGTGTCTCTAAAATAGCTGGGACAGATTTACATCTTGGTGTCACAGCAGAGGCTATGGGTTAAAAGGCACAAACATATTTCCTATGTCTAGAAAGTCTGGTTTTGGCCTGAAGAAACACACCTTTAAGTCTATCCTAGAGGACACCAAGGAAGTTTAAAATCTTGAGCTCACAACTAAATATATGTAGTCAGTGTTCTGCCAGTTTATCAGAACTCCAATTATCAATGCTAAATCTCTGAGCCTCTGAAACCCCAGTGTAGCAACAGCGTAGGAAGAGGACAGAAGTCTGAAGCACGTGTGGGCAGTGGGCCTCTGTGTGTGTCTGGTTCTCTGTGTGTGAGTGGTGACATCCCTGGCTGCCCATCCCTACAAAGCTCAGCTTGTTGTTTTTTCTTTTTCTTTTTTTTTGTTGTTGTTTGTTTGTCTGTTTGTTTTTAGACAGGGTCTGCTGGCCTTGAATTCACAGAGTTCCTCATGCCTCTGGCTCCCAGCTGCTGGAGTTACAGGCTTGTAATTATATTTGGCAAACCCAGCTTCTTAACTGTCGGTCAGGATGTGGGAGTCTTGCAAACTTAGGTAACCAGCAAAAGGTTTCTGGCTGGTTGAAAATCAAATGTGTGATGACTGAGTATTTCTGTCAGGGCTCAATTACGATGCAAACCTGAGATACAAACTGAGGCATTAATGTGAGGTACTCACTCATGGTGCTCACAGTGATGCTCACTGTGGTGCTCACTGTGGTGCTCACTGTGGTGCTCACTGTGACGCTCACCCGTGGAGCTCACAGATGCTCCCCCGTGGTGTTCACGGTGATGCTCACAGATGCGTCCTGTAACTTCACTGAAGCCGCGGTTTGAACACACGGCTTCTGCCCTCTGCACCATGCACACTGTTGGGTGTCACAACACCAGTGAACTCTGCCTGCAACACCTCAGCACACTCTGAACTGGAGTGTCTTCTAAAACCATAATGGTTAATTATAGGAAACAAAGACTTCTTAGGACTTTCCTGTGACTATTCCTTGGCATACAAGTATCACGTTAGTGCCCTTTGGAATGTTAGAATATTTGATTTTAAAATCTGCTGCTTGGGTTTCTGGCTTGTGTTTCACAGAAAATCAGATTTGAGCTGGTGAGATGACTTAATTGGGTAAAAAGACTCTGCCATGAGGCCTGCAGACCTGAGATAAACTCCCAGGACCCACTTACAGGAGAGAACAACCTCTGCATGCCCTCTGACCCCCACTTACAGGAGAGAACAACGTCTGCATGTCCTCTGACCCCCACTTACAGGAGAGAACAACCTCTGCATGTCCTCTGACCCCCACTTACAGGAGAGAACAGCCTCTGCATGTCCTCTGACCCCCACTTACAGGAGAGAACAACCTCTGCATGTCCTCTGACCCCCACTTACAGGAGAGAACAACCTCTGCATGTCCTCTGACCCCCCACTTACCCGCTGTGCTGCACAGACCCACAGCCACACGAATAAGCAAATACAATCCAATAAATATTAAAATATCCATATTGATTTTGGCTTGGATTAAGACAGAATTTCTGGCAAATGGCCCTAACATACTTCTGTACAGCACTGATGACTACAGAATCAAAATATCAGTCTACTCTGAAAACACAGAAGACACTGTACATCCTGCAGCGACAGATACTCAGCAAAGATCTAGTTCTTTCTGTAAAAATAAACAATCACATCTTCCTCACTGCATGCAAATATGCTTTCATCGCTAATGACATTAAAATTATATGTACATTAAAGGGTTGTTTTGCAATAAATTTATTATTATCAATAATATCTGATATTCATGTATTTTCAATATTTTATCTATAATTAGTGTGTGTGTATACGTGCATATGCACACAGGTGCACACTATGGTGTATGTGTGGAATTCTAACACAACACGATCCAAAGGGCACTAATGTGATATTTGAATGCCGAGGAGTAGTCATAGGAAAGTACTAAGTATTTGTTTCCTATAATTAACCATTATGGTTTTAGAAGAACAGAAATTTTATCTGCCCCCTAAAAGCATACTTTTTATCTTTAAATGGGTTCTGGGGATTGAAATCAGGTCACCAGGTTTGTGTGGTAAGCACCTTTACTGCTGAGTCATTTTGCTGGCCCTGCATACCCACTTTATATAACTACATAGCCAGTGCTGTGTAAAAATTTCTCACTGAACAACGAATCTTGAGTGGAAAAGTCTAAGAAGCTGCTGTAGGGAACAGATGTCCTGGGGATCTCCCTAGGAACCAACGAGGACTGCTGTGCAGTACCTGGGTTCCTGTAGACAGGTTTCTTTCCAGAAGGAAGTAGCTGGGTGCCTTCCTGGGCGCTTGCAGGCAACCTCAGTCTCTGCTGACCCTGGGCTAAGGACAAGGCCATGAGTAAGTGTTTGTCTGTGTTTTTGTTTGTTATGTTTTTGAGGCATGGCCTTACTCAGAGCCTAGGCTGGCCTCCAACCTGAGACCCTTTTGTCCCGGGCTCCAAAATGCTGGGATTATAGGCATGCGTCACCTGTTTCTTTGCTTAATGGGATTTTGCTTCTAATCAATAAAATAGCACAGGTCTTGGGATGTAGCTCAGATGGTAAATAGAGTGCTTGTCTAATATCCACAAAGCCCTGGTTCCATCTGCACGGCAGAAGCTGGCATGTTCCTCTAGTCCCAGCACCGGGGACATAGACGCAGGAGAATCATTTATTCAAGGCTATCTTTGCCTATATATCCAGTTCAAGGCCAGCCTGGACCACGAGAGACCTGATTTCAAAATAAATGTAAAAGTGTTTAAACTCATTTTAGACAATCCAGGATGTCCAATGAAGTACCAGTAAGAAAATGAAAGTGTTTTTTATACTAAATGTTAATGAGATAGCAATGGACTAATCTCACATGCCGAACAATTTCTCTAGCCTTAAACTGACCTTGAACTCAGAAAGCATTGGATGCTCTTCCTGCCTCCACCTCCCTAATGCTGCTACTACAGGTGTGCACCACATTCCCAGCTTTGTTATGTGATGTTTTGGGTAGAACCCAGGGCTTTGTGCATGCCAGGCAAGCGCTCTACCAACTGAGCCATGTTCCCAGCCCCTTCCCATTTTTTGCATACGAGTTATTTTATTGTTATAAAATATGCACAATACGAATGAACCATTTAAACATGTTACATCATCCTACACAGAAACTCTGTATCCATCAAACAGCAGGGCACCATTCCTTCCTCCCAATGCCTTAGTTACCTTTGCTCTGGTCCAGCTCCTGAAAATCCAACCCCCCTCACATAAGTGGAGGTAGGTAAAATCTGTCCTTTTGTGTCTGGTTTCTCCCACTTGGAATGGTTCCAAGTCTCAGCCATGTGTTTTCGTCTGTAGATGGGTATCTAATACAGCCCTGCGCCACACAAAGAAGGATGGGACAGTGGCAGATCTCACAGGGTACAGTGGTCATCCCAGAAGATTATAAGGAAGCTCCTGCCAGCTAGCGATGTGTAATGTGCAACACACAGAAACGTAAGGCATATCGTGCTGCTGGTGCCACGGTCACAAAGGCATAGGGTATGACATGGGATAGTGACGGCAAAGGACGAGATGCTCTCGGTGACTTATGTACCGTGTTCTGTACGGTGGGTTTGGGGGCACACTTACCTTCCATACAGAGGGGGTCTTGGCCTCACACACCTGGTGCATCAGGAAGCCTTGATGAGGGAGTGACTTCAGCTTTCTGTAAGTGATGAGCTTGTCTAACGGGGCCATTCTTTTCTAGAACGATCTCCTATCATGAGGTACTGCATGAGTGTGGTCTGCTGTATGTGTACAGGGGGCTTTGTTTCCTCAGTCATCTGCCAACAGACACTGTCCTGTGTCCACTTGGGGATTTTGTGAGTAGCACCGCTGTGACCATGAGCACCCTTCTTTCCAGGCAGCTCGGTTGAGACACAGCACGTATGTCAGAAAACGCACCCACTTAAATGCTCAAGTCAATGCTGTTATTACAGCCAGAGCTGTGCAGCTGCCTCCACCATCTAATTTTAGAGCATCTCTTCTCCTCTCCCACCTCAGAGGGAGTGAGTGACAGCCCGAGGCAGCCACCCATCTATTTCCTGTCTCTAGAGGTTTGCCAATTCTAGGCATTTCACATAAACACAATTATATATCATGTCTATGCTCTTTCATAGCTGTCGCTTTTTTTTGATACAGGGTCTCATGTAGCCTGAGTTGGCATTAAGTTTGCTGTGCAGCTCAGAATGACCTTGAACCTCTAGTCCTCCTGCCTCTATTTCCTGAGGGTGACAACTACAGATTTGGATCACAACATCATTTTATGCAATGCTGGGTATCAAACCCCGGGCTTCAATACATGCTAAGAAAGCATTTTACCAATCAAGTCACTTATCCAGCCCTCACTGTCTTCATTTAGCACCATATTTGAAGGCTGATACATTGCTACTTGTTTATGCCACAGTCAACTGGCTCAAAGTGGGGGCAAGGATTTTCCCAGGTTCTCAGCAAACTCTGGCGGGCCAGAGTGCTGTTTGTGGTTCATGTGGTTGCATTCTTCAAAAAACACTCATTAAGAGTCTTCCACACACTAGCCACTTAACCAGTACTGCCTAAGTGATGAGACGCACGGGGTGTGATGACATGCACTTGCAATCCCAGCACTCAGGAGGTAGACAGGAGGGTCAGCTCAGCAACACAGGAAATTTGAGGCCAACCTTGGATCCATGAGACCCTGTACAAGGCCGAAGAGCTGGCCAGTGGCCGGACTGAGATTCGATCCCAGGCAGTCTGGCTATGGAGGCAGAGCTGCACAGAGAAACGTTTTCTCTGAGAGTGAGTTGCTGGCCAGTGTGGACAGTGTACCCTTCTTAGTCTTTGCTTTGCTTGAGCAAACCTGGCTCTCACTTCTGTCTTCCCTGCAGGTCCTCGATTCACTTGCCCAACCCTGAGTAAGTGTAGCAGAGGAGACGCTGCTTCATTATACCAGCTTCCCCAGGCAGACCCCATGGACATTTGCCTCTGCCTGTCTGGTGACCCGAGAATAGACTCCACTCACTTCTGCGGGCCTTTCTGTTGCCTGTCAAAGAAAACACTACTGCATTTTAAAGCCACTGCAGTCTTCCTATTGTCCCCCACCTCCTATTGTGGCTTTATTGAGTTATAATTGGCAAATAAAAACTAGGTATGTTGAAGAGATGTAATGCAATATTCTGATGTCTGAATATGGTATGAAATGATTATTGTAATCAAACTAATTAACCTATATATCATCTCAGGTGGTAACCTTTTTATTAGAGGTATGGATTTACTCTTAGCAAGTTACAAGTATACAGTGTCATACTATTAATTATAGTCACCATTTCAAAGTCTTTCTAGCCAAATTCCCTCCCTCCGTAAGTCTGTATTTATTTTTATTTGACAGTCTGATCTGAAATCAGAAAAGCCAGTAGGTACGAAGTAGATGAAGAAAGGAGAAATGGAGGAAACACCACGGAGAGGTCCTGAGGCAGGTGGGAACACTGAGGATGGATGTCAGCAGACCAGAGTGTGTAATGAGATACGTACCAGTCAAGCATTCCATTTCCTCCGGCCCCTGTGCACATTCATTTCAGGTGGAGCTGCCTCCTTTACAGCAGCAAAATGACCAATCAAACCTCTCCTCTTGCAAAGGAGAGGGGAATCATTAAGGCTGCCTCCTGGCCATGATGCCTCCTCTCTGCTCACTATGACCTGAGCTGTCTGCTTGCTACTACCCAATATGCAGGGATTACCGATGCAATCCAGACCAACAACAATGCACCCCTGGACTGGGGCAGGGCCTGGCTGCAGGAAGGAGGGATAGATACTTTCTCAACAGGAAGAGGGAATTATGGGTAGATTGCAGTGCTGCTACCAACTGAGTGTGCCTTTCCTACCTATTAACATGATTATGAGACCTGAGGTATTGGGGAGCAAATTGGTAGGCTAGAATTCACCACTTCACATTCTCAGAACAAACTGTGAACACCCCCACGCTGGCATTCTTCAGGATAACAGCCAGCCTCACTGCTGGTCTCTCATTCACACTGTAATTACCACAGTAGCAACACCAACCACAGATCTGGTCTCTCAGACTCCCTGTCAAGTAGCAAGAAGACAGTAAAGAAAGCTGTGGAGCGCCCCCCCCCCACAAATCCAGCATTGTGGATATGTAAACAAACCGTGTTAAAGATGTCTTACCTTGTCTGCCTAAGGCACCTGATTGGTTTAATAAAGAGCTGAATGGCCAATAGCTAGGCAGGAGAAGATAGGCAGGATTTCAGGGGAGACGAATCTGAGGTGTATGGAGAGTCAGCATCAAGACACGGAGGGAATTGTCCATACAGAATGGAGGAGGGGTAAAAAGCCACATGGCAGAATGCAGATTAATAGAAGCAGGTTAATTTAAGTTGTAAGAGCTAGTTGGGAACAAGCCTAAGCTAAGGCTTTCATAATTAATAATATGTCTCTGTGTCATTATTTGGGGGCTGGAGATCCAAAGAACGTCTGAGAAGAAAGACTCATTACAGTTCAGAATTTTTTAGTGCTGCAGAAAAAATTGTGGAAGCAGCCAGAGAGATCTTTCTGGAAGCTTGCCTCTTGTGGAGGTGGAGAAAGAAGAAGGGCATTGCTAACTAGGCGAGGCCACGGTGGCCTCTCACTCACAGACCAGCTGTCACCTTTGCTCCGTGGGTCCTTTGTGATGCTCAACCTCTCATACATGCGGCAAGATCTCAAATAATTTAAACGCCAAGAAAGCAGCACACAGGGGCCCTGGGCTGCAGCCGGCATGTGTCTTGGCCACACAGTATCTTACAACCTCAGTTAGTTTCCTTTAAAGATCAGGAGGCTGAAGAGAAGGTTTCAGATCTCTGGTTTCTTTTGCAAAATGAGAAGTTCTAGCAATTTAGGCCTGCTGTAGTTTGGAGATGGCTACTTCCCTAGTGGGAAGGTTTGGACAAAGGGTGACATCTTTAAGAGGCAGGACCTAGTGGGAGGTGGTTGGGACTAAAGCTGATCTCAGGACTGGATTAGGTGGATGAAACAGTCTGACCATTCCCAGAGTCTCTCTTCTTCCCCCACACGGCTACTTTTTGGTGCACACCCATGACACCGGGTAACATGTGACATATCAGGAACACTCCTGCCATATGTCACGCTGCTTAAATCTTTCAACTATCAGAATAAGGAGACTATGATCCTGTTGTCTTTTTATATTACCCAGAAGTAGATGTTTTGATTTAGCAATACAAAATGGTCTGAGACAAGGGCACATGCTTAAAAGATAAAAAAATGACAAGAGTTGGGTAGCTGGCCCTCCGGTCTAGAACTGTCCAGTCACTGCAGTCCTGCTTAGTTTACATGTATGTAACTGGTGTTTTCATCAGGATTTCGTGCCTGTGCCAGTTATGTTCACCTTCCCAAGATGGCAGCGGGAGGGAGGGAGTAGAGGAGCAGCGGGGAGGTGAGGGCGGTGTCAGCTCTCCCAGCAACAAGGGGCTGTCCCAGCAGGCCTCCTAGCTGGGTCCCCAGGTCTGGGCAGCAGGGAATAAGCCTGTACGAAGTCACACTACTCTTCCTCCGTGAGCTACATCACGTCTGTTGCTTATCCACAGAGGGCCAAGGATGCCACATGTGTTATCTCATCCTGTTGTTACCAAGAAATGGGGGTCTCTGCTTGCCATTCTTAGTCTGCTAAGTAAAATAATTTAAAGGCTGGAGTGAGGGATCAGTGGTTAAGAGCACTGGCTGTTCTTTCATAGGATCCAGGTTCAATTCCTAGTACTAGCGAGGAAGTTCAATAACTTCAGTCCCAGGGAATGCAACATACTCTTCATCTGCTGGGACCTGGCACGTGCGCGCACACACAGACACACAGACACACACACACTCACAACACACAAACTTTTAAAAGAAAAGCTGGCAGACTCATGAAACTCCTTGGCTGTGGCCCTGTAAGAGACTGTTCCAGGAGGCAGGATTTCCGGGAAGGAAAGATATTTCACTGAAGGGATAATTACTCCTCCTAGCTCTTTAGAATGGTATAAGGTGATCTGCTTCCTGAGGGTGGTCCTTGGAGACTGACCCACCCAACTGGAATGCTGGTTCTTTGTCCAGGCTTGAGATTCCGTTTTCTGGATCTGAAGAAAATGCTTTTACCTTAACGGGCCTTTTCTGCTGCTGTGACCCTGTTACTTCCCTGGCATCTGAAAGAGGGGATGACACCTCTGGGAAGGTGATCCTGATGTATAAGAAGGCAGGCTGAGTCAGTAAGCAGCATCCTCCACGGCCTCTGTTCTGTTCCCGCCTCCAGGTTCCTGCCTTGAGTTCCTGCCCTGACTTCTCCTCATGATAGACTGTAAGCTGTAAGAGGAAGGAAACAACCCTTTCCTCTCTGTTTTTCAGTCATAGTGTTTATCACAGCAACAGAAGGCAAACTGGAATGTCACGCATCCCATCTCAGGAAGCTAGGGCAGGAGGACTGCAAACTCCAGGCCAGCCTGGGTGATGCAGAAAGAACAAAGACGACTCCATCAATGGGCACACCCCGCCTCCCAGAACTGTTGCTTTGGGGATTATGATGGTCTGAATGAGAATGCCCCAAATGCTCACGTATTTAAATGCTTAGTCCGCAACTAGCAGAACTATTGCGGGAAGAATTAGGAGGGGTGGCCTCGTTGGAGGAGGTGTGTCATTGGGGGTGGGCTTTGAGGCTTGTAAAGCCCGCACCATGCCCAGTTAGTCTGCTTCCCCCCACCCACTATGCTTGTGGATCAAATGTAAACTCTCAGTTACGGCTCTGGTACCATACCTGCCTGCCTGCTGCCCTGTTCTCCACCATAATGGTGTCCTGGAACTGGGAGCCCCAAATTAAATGCTTTATTTTGTCACTGCAATAGGAAAGTAACCAAGACAGGGACTAAGGTTCCACAAGCTGAGGGCACTGCTTTCAAATCACAACAGGCAGCTGCTCTATCCTTCTGTGCTGGAAAAGTCAATCAGCCAGTAGGGTGTGTGTAGGGGGGCAATACTGCACTGTTTTATTATTATTATTTTACTTATTTATTTTTTGGTTTTTCGAGACAGGGTTTCTCTGTATTGTTTTGGAGGCTGTCCTGGAACTCGCTCTGTAGACCAGGCTGGCCTCGAACTCAGAGATCTGCCTGCCTCTGCCTCCCGAGTGCTGGGATTAAAGGCGTGCGCCACCACCGCCCGGCCTGCACTGCTTTATTATTAATGACCCTTTTGGGCCTTCGCTTTCTCATCTATGAATAAGCTGACCCCTTAAGTGATCTGCAACCTCTTAACCCTTTCACTCTACTGCAGAGGCTGCATTAACTATGAGAAAACTTTTGTGGAATATTTGTTTACACTGTGGGAAGATATGTCACTGTGATTGGTTTAATAAAGAGCTGAACAGCCAATAGCTAGGCAGGTGAGCGTAGGCGGGACTTCCAGGGAGAGAGAGGACTCTGGAAAGAAGAGAGGCAGAGGGATGCCTGAGAAACTAGGACAGACAGAGAGACATTGAGAAAGTAGGACAAACGGTATAGAGGAGAGGTAGCCAAGTCACATGGCAGAATGTGGATTAATAAAAACAGGTTAAGTCATAAGAGCTAGCTGGGAATAAGCCTAAGCTAAAGGCCAAGCTTTCATAACTAATAATAAGTCTCAATGTCATTATTTGGGGGTTGGCAGTCCAAGAAAGTCTGACAAGAAAGCTTGCTACAAAAAACATCTAATACCAACAAATTAAAGGACTCATTTATTTTCACTATATATGCATGTGGTGTGTGTGTAGTGTGTGCATGTGTATGCCCACTGGAATGCTTGTCCAAAGGGCAAAGGGCATTGGTGGCCTTAATCATTTCTCATCTTATTTTCTTGAGACAGAGTTCAGTAAGGTAAACCTGGACTTCCCCGTTTCAGTTAGAATGGCTGACCAACAAACCCTAGAGATCTCGTCTCCTCCCACCTGAGTTAGGGCTTAGGGCTCCGGGTGTGTGTGTGTTGCCTGGCTTTTTATCTGGGCGCTGGAGATCTATTTTATTATTTTATTTTTTATTTTTGGTTTTTCGAGACAGGGTTTCTTCTGTGGTTTTAGAGGCTGTCCTGGAACTCACTTGGTAGTCCAGCCTGGTCTCGAACTCACAGAGATCCGCCTGCCTCTGCCTCCCGAGTGCTGGGATTAAAGGCGTGGGCCAGGCGCTGGGTATCTAAATGTAGTCCCTCATCACGTACTGCAAACACTCCTTCCCTCCAAGCCACCTCCTCAGCCCAGGAAGTGTTTCTGTGGAGTCACTCATCACGGCAGGCAGGGCATGCCAGAGCAGAGTAACTATCTGTGGTGAACAGCAAACTAGAAAATACCCTCACCACCAGCTTTCTCCTTTTATTCGTCTGCAGCCTAAGGGTTGGTGCCACTTACATTCAGGCAGGCCTGCAACTTTTAGTCTTCTCTGGAAACACACTCAGAGACACAGCCAGAGCTACTAATCTCCCTTGTGTCCATCACAGAAAACCAGTGACTTGGCTAAATTCATTCCCATGAGCTTGGATCTTTTCATATGAAGACAGACCCTTGTGCCTTGTGTCTTTAGAGACCCCACCTGTACTTACCTTATGGGGTTATTATGTGACACAGATAATACATTTAAACAAACTTATTTTTGTTTATTACATATTATATATATATGAGTTTCAGCTGGTAACTGTACTCTTTTGGAAGAGTGGTGTTAATAGCGGAGCCATCTCTCCAGCTCCGAGTAAAACTTTCTTCCTTTTCTTTTTCCAAGGCAGGGTTTTTCGGTGGCGCATTGACTGACTGACTGTCCTGGGACTTAGTCTATAGACCAGGTTAGCCCTGAGTGCAGAGATTCCCTTGCCTCTGCCTCTCAAGTGCTGGGATTAAAGGCATGTGCCTCCATGCCTGACTTTTTTTTTTAAGGCATTTCTCTCTCTCTCCCTCTCTCTTTTTTCTTTCTTTTATGTTTTTTTGAGACAGGGTTTCTCTGTAGCTTTGGAGGCTGTCCTAGAACTCTCTGTAGACCAGGCTGGTTTTCAAACTCACAGAGATCCGCCTGCCTCTGCCTCCTGAGTGCAGGGATTAAGGGCTTCTTTCATTTTTTTTTTTGAGACATAGTTTCTCTGTGTAACAGTTTTGGCTGTCCTAGAACTCACAGAGTTTGTAGACCAGGCTGGCCTCAAACTCACAGAGATGCACCTGTCTCTGCCTCCCAAGTTTTGGGACTAAAGGCATGTGCCACATCACCAGGCATAATATATTTTTAATATTCAAAAAGCACATGGTTTATGGCCGAGAGTGGGACTACCTGGGTTTGACTCCTGGTTCTTGCCCTTGCTAGCTATGTGAGCTCAAATCATCTGCATGTACCTGTTTTTCTTATCTGTGAGTGGGAGACAATAGTACCCACAGAAGTTGCTTTGACAATGAAATGAATATTTATAAAGACTCTTTTAAAATTATCCAATTTATTTATTTATCTGTTTGTACACACGTTGCTGCCTTGGTGTGTGTGAGGAGGTCAGAGAATGATTTGCTGTGAGTCCTTTTATCATGTGGGCTCCTGGGGTTGATCTTGGGTCCTCAGGCTTGGCAGCCTTTCCCGGATGAGCCATCACTCTGGTCCTGCAAAGACTTTTTCAGTGGTGTCTAATAGTAAAGTGATTAATTAAATGAGTAAAGGATGGGGCGATAACTCAGTGGCAGAGTCCTTAAGCAAGTATGAGGACGTAAGTTCCATCCTTGGAGCCCACACAAAAGCAAGTCAGGCATAGAGGTGTGTGCTTATAGTCCCAGTCAAGTAGGTGAGGACAGGAGAATCCCTGGGACTTGCTCTAGGCAGCCTTGCCGGATCATAGGTCCCAAGTCCCAGTGAGAGACCCTGTCTCAAAAATCAAGGACGGTTCCTGAACAGCAACACCTAAAATTGACCCCTGGCCTATGCATGAATGTACACACACACACACACACACACACACACACACACACACACACACACACCCTATTATCAGCTTCTGACCCAGAGCAGTGGAAGGCACAGGCACTTAGATCAGGATCAGGACATACTTGTCTATTTGGAGTGAAGCCAGTACTTAGCTCTGTAACTTCAGAAACTTCCTTTAATCTTTCTATGTCTTATTTTCCTCAACAGCAAAACAATGGGTTTGGGCAAGTTTAAGGGCAAACAGCATTTTTGACCAAAGAAAGATCAAGTCTGGAAAGAAAACATTTTTGGACCTCATTTTCTTATCCATTAGATACTGCAGGCAGTATCTCAGCATGGGAGCTGCTTGGCTGCTATCCCGGCACCCCATGGGGCTAAGGGCCCATTGCAATGGCCTGGGTAACATCTGACCCAGTCACACCCATAGACATCCAGATGTGAGAAAAAGGAACATTCACAGGGCACTCTGGCTGCAGGTTTGGGAGTAGCCACTGCTGCTGGCTACTGCTGACCTCTTATCTGGGTGACTTCATGGAGCCTCCAATTCTATAAGAAACACCACTTTCCTTCAAATGATCCACCCCACACCCTAGGCTAGCGGGTTAGGAATCGTGTTTCATGTTGAGTTTCCCCACAACTTTGAGGCCTAAGATGATCGCAGTTTCTCTAGATGTTGTGGGTTGGGTGGTTCTGCTGGCCTTGCATAGGGGTACAGGGTGGCAGCATTTACCCACTGCCAGGAAGGGCTACTGGTGTACACAGAAGCAGACATGCCTATCTTACGCCACACCTCAGACAGCCTCCTTTGCCTTTGGTGATTCCCCTCACCCCCCAGCATTCTGGTAGGAGTGACTTGAATCCCAACATCAGCCTTGATTCAAGGGCCCAATACACTTGGGTGTCCCATTCATATGACCTACCATTGTGAATCCACACCTCTCAGGCTGGGAGCCACAGTAATCCTCCCTCCCTCAAGCTGCAGGTCAGGTATGTGGTCATATGGTGGGCAAGCTAACAGCTTTGGCCCTCTTCCTCTTCTGAAAGAAAGGCCAGGCACTCTAGACTGAGGGGCTGGCATTCTTTTTAGCATGTGTGTGTGACAAGCACTGTGGCTGGTGGCAGTCCAAGGTGCTGCAGGAGATCCAGCTCTCGTCCGAATTCTGCTGCTACTTTTCCCCACACAAGCCTCTCTGAGCCTGTATCCTTATCTGTAAAATGGGGGTGTGGCGATGGCTCCCACCACACCCAGTAGTGACAGGTGGGCAGCACTCAGTGCCATGTCTGCCTTCAGTAAGCACACAGTCAGTGGCAGTTGGTACTAACGGAAGCTTGAATTCTGGCTACCCACTCCCCAGAGTAGGTATATGGAGAATTCTTGTCCTGAAGAGACTCCAGGCTCAGGAAAGCTTCCTATTGTAGTTGGGTCCCCTCAGACTTGGTTTTTAGATCCCTGTGTCCCTCACTCAGTCCACATATGTGCTATGTCTTGCTTTTTTTTTTAATTATTAAATCATGCACAACTCAGGGCACCAAGCCCCACAAACTTTATTAGAACTGGGGATTGTGGGAAGTAGGAATCAAAGGCTGGACACAGTCTCCCCTCTTTATGATAGGGACAAAAAGGTCAAACATTTCCCCAAGGAAATGGGGGTACAAAAGGCCCAAGAGAAGGGACTAGGAGAATGACAGCTGCCCTGAGGTTAGGAGGGTGTGGTGCTGGGTTTGTAGGTTATGGTCTAAGTGCTTCTGTCCCCAAATTTATGTTGGAGTCTTTATGCTGAAGGCTTTGGGGTTGAGCAGGTCATGGGGTGAGACCCTCATGAATGGGGCTAGTGTTCCTATATGAGGCCCGAGGAAGCTTGTACTTCTGCCCATGTGAGGATGTGAACAGAAGGGGTTTCCTCTGAACACTGGGGCTATCGGTGCCTTCATCTGGGCTTTGCTGCCCCCAGAACAGTTATAAACCAACTTCTGTTCTTAGTAACTTGGTCTAGGCTTTTTTTGTGACAGGAGCCAGATGGGCTCCTTCAGCCCTAGCCCCAGAGAACATAAATGTCTCTTACTGTCATGACGGGTTCAGGTATCCAAAGGGCTCTGTCCATGGGAACAGAGGTTACGAGTGGACCCTACTTCCTGCCTACAGATGGAGGTGTTGGGGGAGGCCATGACAGAGAAGAGTACAGACAGGCAGTACAGCTAGATAGCTGGGCCAAGGGAAGCCAGGCAGGTAAAGCTGGGGTTAGGGACTGTGGAGGAGCTCATCACCCTACTTAATTTGTAAAAGATGTGTGGCTCTCCCCTGTTCTAAAGCTGCAAATATGAAGTGCAGAGGTGAATGTTTTCTCATCAACCACCCCTGGGTGCAGCTGCCATGAATAGGTCTGCCATGCCCATCCACATAGAAGAGCGCAGAATGGCCATTTCCTCCCTTGGCCAAGCTCCCGCAGGCTGGGGGTATTCCTGATGTTAATAGCACCTGAGCTACTACTCTGCCTGCCCTGGGTCCCAGAGGTGTGGGGCCACCCAACTCCCTTCAATCCATCTCCCTTGTGTAGAAGACAAGACATCACTTCATCAATCCAGCCCCTTAAGGCTGCAGCTGGTCCCAACCCCAGAGGCAATACGGAGGTAGAGAGGCCCCAGGGGGAGGCAGGTTGGGGTGCCATTCCCGGTAGGGTTTTCCCAAAACAAGATGGGGCAGACAGATTTGGCAGCTTTCTGACACTACCAGGAAAGACCCTGGCTCCTCTTAAATCATATTCCAAGGAGGATGTAAACAGTATTGCTCAGGGCCACACTGGCTAGCTGTGTCGGCCCCACCTGGGCTCAGCCCCCGGTCCCTGAAGAAGCTCACACCCCAATAGCACTCTTCTCACCCTCTTTGGAGCTGGGGTCCTCCTGGGTCTTCTGCATCTCCCAGCCCCTGACCCAGGTGTAGGCGGAGGAGCCACCCAGCACCATCAGGTTGCTTGTCCACCACAGGAAGCTCTTGGTCTCTTCATAGTAGAGCACGGCCAGCACTGTCTGTGCACAGGCCTTGGCTGTGCCTGACACATTGTGGGTCAGGGGACTGGTGAATTTGATCTGCAGTCCTGTCACATAGCCAATGGCAAAGCCAAAGAGGCCGCTCAGCGTCATCATGAGCCAGAAGTGGGCACTGTCCAGATGAGCAAAGTCAAGGAGGGCTTGGAGCTCACCCAGCAGAACCATCAGGGGCAGGAAGAGCACACAGGCATTGACATTGTTATAGAAGGTTAGGATCCAGATGCTGTTGTCTACCGCCGGGAGCACCTTCTTGGTATAGATGGCATTGAGGGAGACGCAGAGGCTGGCCAGCACCCCGAAGATGGTGCCTATCAGGGACAGGGTGCCCTCAGCTCCCTCTTGGTCTATACCCAGCCAGAAACCACCTGTAGCAGGGACAGAAGAGTGACAAGGTGAAGAGGGATGAGGAGAGGAGGGAGAGGATTCTGATACCACAGTTCAGATGGTTCTGTGGCCCTTGCCTCTTCATCAGCATATCCAAGTCTAATTCCCACACCAAAAAAAGGGCTGAGGGAGTAGAGCCCAGAACGAAAATCTGAATCTCCCCGCCCTTCCCCCAGCCACCTGCATCTCCCCCTCCTCCAGCTACAATCTAGCAGAAGGGGAAGGAAGAAGGATAGTGAGCCTGTTACCTCTCTAATTATAACTGCAATCACTGTAATGAGGGCTATACGATAGCACAGGGGCTATAGGAGGAGGGCCAGCCAAAGTGACCTGTTCCCTCAGTGTGAGCATTTGGTCAGAGCTGCTCATGGCCTGATGTTGCTTGGAGTGTCTCTTGGGGACTCTATTTACTCTTGGGTCACCCTCTGCTCAAAGAGCCTGCATGGCTTCCCAGACCACAGCATGGGGCCAGCACTTCCTCTGTGACACAATGGCCTTAAGCCACCTTCTCAGCTCCCCACCTCTCACTACAGAGTTCTGCATCCAAAATACCTCCTCCTTCCAGGGATTCTACCACTCTTCAAGGCTGGCTCTTGGGGGAATCCCTTCCCGATCCACCAAGTACCTAGGCTTCTTCCCAGTTTCCTGCTTCCTGCCCTTTGCCTGCCCCTGGCTGTTGGGTGCTGCCTGCCCCTGGCTGTTGGGTGCCTGCTCCTGGCTGTTGGGTGCCTGCCCCTGGCTGTTAGGTGCCTGCTCCTGGCAGCACTCTGGTCTCTTCATTTAGATCCTGCATTCCCACAAGGTGGAGGCTTACTGATGCCACAGGGATCAGCAACATGGAATAGCAGGACCATCACAGGCATCAGAGAGATCTGGACTCTGACTGCTCTGTGATTTCGAAGCTGAGCTATTTGGGAGAAGTTACTTACCCTCTCTGAGATCCAGTTTCCTTCATCTATAAAAATTGGGGCCATGTTATTGCTCCCATGTTAACCAATCTACTCTTTGTCTTGTAACTAAAATGATTTTCCTCCATGGCTCCCATGGCCTTCAGGAAAAACTGTACTCATTCAAATGGGTGTTTCCAGTCTGTACTCCCAGGGCAGCCTCCAGCCAGCAAGGACTTCTCAGTAAGGCCTGCTCAGATTGCTCCTCCTGCTCCCTACTCCCTCCAGAGTCCCCACAGCCATTCTCAGAGATGGGCCCTCCCTCACAGGAGGGAGGAAGGAAAGATGGAAGGGAAGACCCAGCAGCTGGAGCCAGTTCCAGAGGCCACAGAGTCTACTTCTGCACACCACTCAGGCAGGCAGCCGTGGTCCTCAGCTGCCTCACTGTCAGCTACTGGCTGCTTTGGGGATCTGGGCTCAGGTTCTCTAGTGACTGTACCCCCTCGGAGGTCCATGCCCTCTAACCATGGCAGGGCTGGTAGACTGAAGTGGACTCCCAGGGTGCCTTGTAGGACGACAAAGAGGAAGCAAGGAATACCAGTTCTCTTAGGGTGTATGTGTGGGAGTCCCCCAGTGCTGACAGCTCTTTACCTGGACAGCTCCTCCCTGGTCCAGATGGAGCTGCTCAACCAGGGGGACATTTCTAGGGCAGATGTGAGCATTGGCCTGGTCCCCACATCCAGAGGCCCAGTTTAGGCCTCTGAGACACGAGAGGAGACTAAGTGTGTCAAACAAGCCAGATAAAAAACCTGAGCAGGTGTAAATGAAGGTCGCATTTCTGCCTGCCCAGGACTCTCAGGGAACAGATGCCTTGGTCTCTGTCACCTAGCAGTCACTCAACTCAATGCTTTCAGGGCCAGACATGTCTCCTAACACATGCAGTCTTAGCCAAGAGTCCCTAGCCACATATGACTATGGTTGCAGAATCAGGTTAAACTCCTGCAGCTGAGGAGCTGGACGTTTACAAGTTCATCTAACTTTAATTTGAAAGCACATTTGGCCTGTAGTTACTGTGTTTGACTGCATTGTGCTAACTTCCAATGGGCAGGAACAAAGTAGACTGGCTTGAAACAGGCCAGGGAGTGTGGCTAGTCTGGGATGGCATTCCAGACTATCTTACTTGTAGGGCCCTGGCAAGAAGCCTAGTTTCTCTGAGTTTCAGTTTCCCCATTAGTGAGCAGACGGTCACAGGGATGCTACCATCCAGAGGGCTTTTCTGTGTAAAAGAGCATGCGACATGTGTAATGGCCGGCACAACATTCACATCTGGGAAGACAGTTAAAGCCTCTTAAAGCACAGAAATATTGGGCCAGTGAAACGGCTCAGTGGGTAAAGGGGCTTGTGCCAATTCTGATGACCTGAGTTCGGTTCCCAGCGCCCATGTGGTGGGAGAAAGGACCAACTCTTAGGTTGTCCCCTAATCTTCACCCATACACTGTGGTGCCCCCCCAACACACACATAAAAAGTAAGAAAAAATTTAAAACATATGTCTACCCACTACTTCAAATATTACCTCAAGGTAGCAGTGTTGTCCTCTTTAAAGAGAACTGGACAGACAGGATCCTGGAACTCTTGAGAAGGAACAGTGGCATGGTGGTCATAGTGTGATCTATGGAGGGAACTGCTTATGTTTAAATCCCAGCTATGTCAGTGATTAGCTGTGTGATCCTGGTCAAGTTACTTTGCCTCTCTGCACCTTGGTTTTCCCTCTGTAAAATGCAGATATATTTTGCCTTGTAATGAAGGTTAGCTGAGTTAATATGGATCAAATGCTTAGATCTGAGTAGCTGGCACATTGTAATCATACAAGCGTCGAGAGTTGTCTTTGCTGTAGTTGCTGCTAACATTACTTTCACCCTGGCTGGGTCCCTAACTTGTTGAGTGATCATAAGGAAGTTATTTCTTTTCTACAGGGCTCTTCCTGTAACTGTGTACCTGGGACAGATAAGTAAAGGTACCTACAGTGTTGACCTTTAGGACTTCAGCTCGATGCCCAGCCTGCTCCCCACAGCCCCCGAGGCCCCACTTACTCACCAATGATGATGCCGCACGTGAGCAGGGCATAGAAGGAAGTGGTCTGTTTGAGCAGCAGGTAGGACAGAAGCACATTGAACACGGTGGTGAGCGAGCGCCCCACGTTGTAGAAGGCCACCCCCACGTACTTGAGGCAGAGGTTATTGAAGCTAATCATGCCGATGAAGACCACCGACAGGGGCAGCACACTGCGGGCCACCTTGAGGTCCAGGCTTAGGGTGGGGAAGTCAACGGTGCCAGGGCAGCAGGTGGCCAGCGTGCTGAGACCCTTGCACAGCAGCGAGGTCACCAGGCACTGGTAGAAAGTGACGAAGATAGGGGTGTTCAGCTGCAGGGAGGGGCTGCCCAGCAGGTACTTGTTGAGGAATACCATGGAGATGGAGGTGACCCAGTAGAGCGAGACCACCAGCGTGATCTGCAGCGCCCGCAGCAGAAACGGCTTGTTCCTGCTGTCTTCATCCGCCTCCTCAGAGGCAGCGGAGCCTCCAGTGAGCGCCATGCGCAGGATCCTGGACCGCTTCAGAGGGGCCCTGTTCATGGTGGTAGAAGAGCTCGGTCACCCCACGACCAGAAACAATCCCTGGCCTACCGGGCTCCGAGATGCTAGAGTCTGGGGGTGCAGCCTTCGATTGTCACATGGCTTGGATGAAGTTCTGCTGGCCAGAGGCACCGCTCCACATCGCGCTCGCTCTCGGGCGGGGCAGGGGGTCAGGAGACAAGACCCAGGGAAGGGAGGGAGAAGGGGCCTAGCTTAGAGTGTGGGCTTTGACAGCCATGGCCGGCAGGACGACAGGGGCTGTCGCCTAATAGGGACGAGTCGCGGGGAGAAAGGAAGGGACAGGGACAGAAGGGCAGGGTGGAGGAGGAAAGAACAGGACGGGGACCGCGTGGGAAGCGGAGCACCGAGAGGGAGGCGTGGGCTACGTGGAGGGCGGGCTGCAGGAGCGCCCGGAAGCGCCCGCCGCGCCGAAGGGAGCGAGGCGAGGGTGGCAGGGAGGTCACGGAGGCTCAGGGAGGCGGCCCGACGGGCAATGACAGAGGGCTGGCGGGCGCAAGGCCTCACCGAAGCCGCCGGCCGAGTGCGAGTTCCGGCTCAGCTTAGCAGGTCCGGGGCCGCGTTCCGGGAGGGGCGGGCCCAGAGCGCATTTCCTGACACGCCTCCGGGTGGCCTTAAAGGGCTCGCTCTCCGGGCGGTTAGCTCTTCCCGCCGCCTCCCAGAGCGCGCACCTTCGCCAGGCCGGAGCGCGCCGGCGCGTTTGCACCTGTGTCCCCGGTCCTGCCCTCTTCTCCCGGGAATCCCCCGAGGCCAGGGAAGGGTTTGCAGGTGCTAGAGCCTCTCCCGTTTTCTGGAAGGGCTCAGTCACTCTCTCCGCCACCCTCACTGTCTGTCTCCTCCCTCCCCTCGTCCGCCCCCCCCCGGGCCTCTTCTGATCGACTAGACTTGGTCAGGTGCATCTACTCCATCTTCCCGGAAAATAGAATACCACCCCTCCGCTTCTGGAGACCCCCACAACAGCCTTTTGTTACTCGACCCCTCCCGAGCTCATGTCGTTCGGGAAGACTTTGCTGCAGTTCTCTCCTTTCTCCCAACCCCTATTTGCACCCCTAACAAACCTAGTCGAGAGGGCCCAAGGTCCCAGAGACCCCCAACAGCACTTCCAGAGGCCGGAAGCCACATCACCTCCGCTAGATAAAACTCTTTCTGGACTCCCAGATCAGAACCTCTGAGCCTCTCAATGCAGCAATTCGGTGTCCCGGATCCCTTCCTATTCCAGAACGTACCGTCGGTCGGCTGGCCTCGGCTCTGGAGCCCTGGCCCGCTCTCCTGGCTGGTTCAGGGACCTGGCGCTCACCCCCGCGGTGCCCTCGGGTGTACCTGGCAGCACCGCCCTCGGCTGCACCTGCTTCGCGGCCCTCCCCAGTACGACTTCCTGCTCGCCGTCCCCAAGTGCGCGCCACGTTGGGCTCCAGGCGTCGTGGGGCGGTTACCCCGGGAACACAGCCAGAAGGCCCTTTGCTCTATCTAAGACCAACCCCGTCTCCCACCTTCCTCCCCAGTCCTCTTGGGACGTCCTCTTACCGTTGCTGGCACGTCCCTTGAGGAAGCTGCATTCCTGACTTTGCGGGTCCAAGCTGGTGCTTCCAGAAGGGCGTGGGTGGAGGAGGGTACCACTACTAGAGGAGGGTACCCCTCCCCATCCCGCGGACCCGACCGGAGTGGGCCACTGGCTCCAGGTCTTTTACTCTTGTGCTGGTAGGACTACTTGTCTGTGCTTTCTTCCTATCACCAATGTTGGGCCGGCAAGTTTGTCCCAGGCTGAGCCAGCTACATTTTGTAACTAGTGTGTTCCAGTCTTACTGCTTGTGTGGTTGGCCATTAAGATGATGTGTTTAAAGTATTTCAAATACTATTATTTTGCCGGACCTGAGGGTAAAAGACCTGTAATCCCAGCTGAAGTAGGAAGATCAAAAGTTCAAGGCCTGTCTGGGTACAGAGAAAAGTCAAGGCCGGCCTGGGCAACATAGTGAGACCTTGTCTCCCAATAAGAACCAGTTGTCTCAAAATAAAAAGTGAGTGTGGGCACACACACAGAGACTCCGATAAAAGATTGGGGCTATAGCTCAGTGTTAGAGTACTTGCCTGGTATGTACAAGGTCCTGGGTTCAATTCCCAGTACAGTAAGGGGGAAGGGGTGGGGTGGGGTCAGTACTATTTGTCAAAACATAAAATTGAAACCCATCTAGCTATAGATCTGCTGGTTTTCATGGACAGCTCCATACTACACTAGGATAGGAGTGGTAACTGGTTACCGCTGTCTAGCCTCAAGAGACCAGTGAAGCTGTGCATGGGAGCTCTGGGTGCCTCACCAGGGGCTGCATGTTATTTATTGTAACTAAGTAAGGGTATTAGAGGAAGCATTTGTGAGAACACTATCGTATCTACACAATTCTGCCCTCCAGGGGAAGCTTTTTTAAGGTACATTGGCAGGCCTGCAGCTGGGGAAGGCAGCACCCACCGAAAACATTGCTCAGGTCACAAGGGAGTTGGACTCCAGACATTATTCATTAGCCATTTTACCAATCTCGTTTGTAGCATTTTCCAGAAAGGAGTTTGTTACAGTGACCTAGGTAATTGTGTTGAGATTTCTGGGTGTCAGCCAGGGGAAAACCAAACCAACAGACCTGGGGGGGGGCTCTCTCCCTGATCATGAGTGTCCCTTACTGTCCTTTCTCAGGAGCTTACATACAGTCGCCAGCACAGCAGCAGGGCATTGAACAATTTGGAGACATTGGTTAGCAACCATTTGCCTTTTTCGGGAGGACTATTCTGAATCAGGCAAGCTGGCATTGGTCTTCAGGAATTTGAGATTATGTTTGTTTGCTTCCTTGAAGTTGCTGTTTGATTATGTGGGATTCAGTGCAATTGGCACTGTAATTCAACTCCAACTGTTTCATCCTTGGTGAGTGTAAAGTCAGTGCACTCAGGCAGGAAATAAAAGTGAAGATGCCGGGGCAGGTAGGCCACAGCTATAATTCCAGTGTTAGGGAGGTTTAGGCTGGTGAATGGTCAGTTTGAAGCCAGCTTGGGCTATGTAGTGAGTCTCAGGCCAGCCTGGGCTACATAGTGGGAACCTGTCTGTCTCAACAAACAAAAGCAATATGGCTAGAAAGGTGACTCAGTGGGTAAGGTGCCTTCCTCCGCAAGCATGAAGGAATGAGTCCAGGTTATCAGTTTGCACGTAAAAAACTGGGTGTTGTGGAACAATCTTCACACACTGTAAATATGTATTACTCGCATTGGTTAATAAAGAGCTGACTGGCCCATAGCTGGGCAGGAGAGCCAGACTAGTAGGAGAATTCTGGGAAGAAGGGCAGAATCAGAGATGTCACCAGCCAGACACAGAGGAAGCAGGACATGTACAAAATGAGGTAACAAATCATGAGCCACATGGTAGCAAGTAAAGGAAAGGAAATGGGTTAATTTAAATGTAAGACTTGGGGCTGGAGAGACAGCTCAGAGGTTAAGAGCACTGACTGTTCTTTCAGAGGTCCTGAGTTCAATACCTAGCAACCACATGATGACTCACAACCATCTATAATGAGATCTGGTGCCTTTTTCTGGTCTGCAGGTAGGTATACAGGCAGAACACTGTATACATAATAGGTGGCGCACGCCTTAAATCCCAGCACTTGGGAGGCGGAGGCAGGCGGATCTCTGTGAGTTCGAGGCCAGCCTGGTCTACAAAGTGAGTTCCAGGACAGCCTCCAAAGCCACAGAGAAACCCTGTCTCGAAAAACAAAAAAAAAAAAATGTAAGAATTAGCCAGTAATAAGCCTGAGCTATCGACTAAACATATTTTTCAACCAAACATTTATAATTAATATTGAGGCTCTGTGTCAGTTATTTGGGAACTGGTGGGCAGGAAAGAAGTCTGCCTACAACTAGGCACTGGGCATGTCTTTAGTCACAGTTTTTGGGGAAAAGGACACATAACAACGGACCATTGACCTGTCATGCATCTGTTCCTATGTCTTGGGATCATTGTCATGCATCGGTTCCTGTGTCTCGGGATCATCGGGATGCACTATCTGTCCCCAAAGCTCCAGCTCAGTATGTTTCCCACTGCTTGATGCAGCTCCCAACTGGAATTGTCAGATTGCTGTAAGTCTGACTCAGTTTGTGCTTTGCCTTGCCTGAACCAGCTTTAAAGTTAGGTGTTACACGATAAGTAACAGACCTAGAGACAGATATTGGAGTTCAGGCTTCAAGCTGAAGATCAGAAAAGCAAAGCAGCAGGCCACTAGCTCTTACTCTACCTCAGACCGAAAGGTGATCCTGGTTCCACCAAACCTCAGACTTCTGCCTCTCCTCTGCGTGGCTGGAGAATCCTGAGACTTCAGTATCTTCCTACCCTCAGTGTGGCTTGAGAATGAATGCCAGCTCTGAGACTTTGCTGCTGTCTTATATACCTCCTTAAAGCTGGGATTAAAGGCATGTGACCCCAGGTGCTGGGCTCTGTTACTCTCCATTCTTGTGAGATAATGGTAGCCTTGAAATAACAGAGATCTGTCTACCTCTTAATCCTGAGTCCTGGGATTAAAGGGGTGTACCACCACTGCCTGATCTCTATAGCTTAAGGCTGACTTTGCTTTCTGAATCCTCAGGCAAACTTTAATGAATCATAAATAATGTATCACCACAGTTGGGCGTAAGACATGAGGGTTTTTCATAATGGTTTTCTGGGGATGGGGAGAAGTCTGCCTTTTGCTGGTACTTGTGTCAGATACTACTTTTCTACTCCAGGAGGGCTTGCAAGTTTTTCTATAAAGGATCAGAGAACAAACATTTTAAACTCTGGATACCAGATAGTCTCTTACTTGACTCAACACTGAGTATTGAGTAAACACTCAATTTTAGTATTAATAAATACTGAACAATTTTAGTTTTGTAAACAAATGGGTACAGCTGCATTTCAATAAAACTTTATTTATAAAAGCAAATAGCGAGCAAGCTTTGGTTCATAGGCTACAATTTTCTTCCTACATTATTTTATTTTTCTTCTTTACTAATATTACCCATATTTTGTAAGCCAGTGTGCCCATCTAAAATATTTACTTCCAGATTCTTTTGCAGCTAGAGATGACCATGTGTTATCTTTTTGGATACTGAGTAGTACTGTTGTCTTTGTTGCTCCTTTTTTCTGACTATATGCAGAACTGAGGTCTAGAAAGGAAGCAGCTCTCTTGTGACCATGAGTCAAAGGATAGCATTAGGAGAGTCAAGAACGACAGATCAGAGCACGGGGAAATCACAGGCCCTCAGATTTTCCCTAAACTCTCCTTTGCTCTGAGCTGCCTTCAGTTTATTGTAGGAGATAAATAACTATCAGTTAAAGCCACTGTGGGGCTGTTAGTCTTTGCTTTTCTTTACTAAACAGAGGCCTTATGGAAACAGTTCTCCTGGGTATCTGTGCTGCTAACCACTCATGTTGAAGGCCCCAGGAAGGCTTGGGATTGTATGGTTGCTGGGCCTGGGGCAACAATGCAGACTGTTTA